TCTCCTAGAGTGCCTCGGAGCAGCGGACCCCGTTCGCACATGCCTCCGTCTCCCGGCATGGTGTGAGGTTCTCTCCATCAATGAGGTCATCTACCGAGAGCTTACCATTGAGTTCCTCAGCACTCTCTCCATCAAGTTTATGTGCGAATTTCACCTCGACAAGCCCGAAGACAACATAACTTTTCGCCTTGGAGGACAGGCGAGACAGATGAGCATCACTGAGTTCACAGAGGCACTCCAGATATACCCACCAGGATTTCTCACTACAGGTCATGGTTTGATTTCAGAGAAAGTATATTCACCAAGAGCACAATTGGTTGATGCTATGTGGAAAAGGGTAAAACAAAACCATGTGGACAAGTCTGACACTGCCCACTATAAAGGGAATGATCTTCTACCCCCATGGCGTATCATCCACAACATTATCGCTCATTCTGTGGCAGCTAGGGAGGGGAGCCCGGGGAGTGTGACCAAGCGGGATTTGAACTTTTTCCTCTCTATGGTAAAAGATCCCCCAATTCATCTTGGTTTAGTCATACTGAAAACCCTACATAAGATGACCTCCAACAAACAAATCAAGACCATCCATGGAGGTGCCTACATCACAAGGCTAGCTCGGCATTTTGGCATTGATCCGGTGGGTTCTCATTGCACCATTGCCCAGTCCACTCAACCAATCTCCCAAAAAAACCTTGCGGATCTATATTTGTTGTCAAAGGTAAATGTTCCAACCAACACTTTCCTTTTCACAGTGAATGCTAAAACAGAACTAGTCGGGATTCAAACAATCTAGGATTGATTTTGTGCAAGTTTTGGATTGCCTACTAATCTAGTTCCTTTTGAACATTGAGCAAATGTAACTAATGCTTCTGATATTGATCATGTCTGGGTTTGGTGGTTAAGGAGAATGGTGTGGTAGGCATTGTTGGCCTTCCTCATCCTGCTCCACCTCTTGCAACAGATGAGGCAAACGCATCGGAGCATGTTGTTCAGCAAATGGTCGAGGAGTCTCCGCAACAACCTGCACAACATCACCAAACTACGACTCAAGCCGGACCATCCACCGACAGATACATTTCCCATTTTGAGGCATTGGGTCGGCAGAATGCCCAAATTCTCGAGCAAAATGCACTCATTCTCTCCCGCCTCGATCGAGAAAAGGAAGCTCGACGCTACATCATCAAATGCAACCATCACATCATGAGGTCCTTGAGGATTGACTACAAAAAATTCTCAACACCTTGGGAACTATCTCCTAGGCCAACCGAGGAAAGCAATGAAGAGGGAAGTGAAGAGGATGACGAGGGCAACGACGATGAACAAAACAAGGAAATAAATCAAGAGGACAAAGGGACCGATGAGGAAGAGGGCAGTGAAGAGGACGACGAGGGAAACGGCGATGAACAAAACAAGGCAATAAATCAAGAGGACAAAGGGACCAATGAGGAAAAGGGAAGTGAAGAGGAGGACGACGAGGGCAACAACGATGAACAAAATAAGGAAACAAATCAAGAGGACAAAGGGACCAATGAGGAAGAGGGCAGTGAAGAGGAGGAAGAGGGCAGTGAAGAGGAGGAAGAGGGCAGTGAAGAGGAAGACGAGGGCAATGGCGATGATCAAAACAAGGAAAGAAATCAAGAGGACAAAGGGACCAATGAGGAAAATGGCAGTGAAGAGGAGGACGACGAGGGCAATGGCAATGAACAAAACAAGGAAAGAAATCAAGAGGACAGAGAGACCAATGAGGAAGAGGGCAGTGAAGAGGACGACGAGGACAATGGCAATGAACAAAACAAGGAAAGAAATCAAGAGGACAAAGGGACCATTGAGGAAGAGGGCAGTGACTCTAGCGAGGACAATGAAGATGAGCAAATCCAGCAAAACGAAGACGAGGACGAGAGCACTGACGAGGAAGATGGGCAGTGAAGATGACCCAACAAAAGTCCTTAGTACTTACCTATGTGTGTTTGCGTTTGTGCTTGTATGTTTTCCAATTAGAATATGATGATGCACTAGTGTGGGCTACATGCAGCTAAACTTAAGCATTAATTAGACAGATTTAATCGTGTTATGGATGCTTGTTTTATTAGACAAATGTAATGCTTTGACTGCGTTTCACTTTTTGTTAACAGGGTATCTCATCTGATATGATGTACAGTTACTAGAGAACATTGTGAATGGATCTATGTAATGCTCGTGTCAAGGTTTAGAGAACATTATGAATCATCTTTTTCATAAGTTTGAAGTTCTGGAAAAAAGTCCATTCTGTTTGAAACACCATTATAATAAGTACACGGGATAGTTCAACAGGTGAAAGTCTCCTACTGGAAATCTGACACCTTATACTGGTAATCTCACGACCGTAAAATACTCAAGTTAGATGTAAAAACCAGTGCTTCATTCCTCAGGCAAATATCACGGCCGTGAGATGTCCCGTGAGATGCAAAGAGCAGTTCTCACTATCCCAGGAAATTTAATAAATCCCTTTATGGTACAACCCAAAATTGTACCTATACTAATGGTACAACTTTTATGGTACAACCCAAACTTGTACCTATACCATGGTACAACTTTAAGTTGTACCTACACTTTCTAACAAATCCCTTTATGGTACAACTAAAAATTGTACCTATACTAATGGTACAACCTTAAGTTGTACCTACACTTTCTAATAAATCCTTTTATGGTACAACCCAAACTTGTACCTATACGAATGGTACAAGTTTAATTTGTACCTACACTTTCTAAGAATCCTTCTATGGTACAACCCAAACTTGTACTTATACTATGGTACAGCTTTAAGTTGTACCTACACTTTCTAATAAATCCCTTTATGGTACAACCCAAAATTGTACCTATACTAATGGTACAACCTTAAGTTGTACCTACACTTTCTCCAAATCCAGCTATGGTACAACCCAAACTTGTACCTATACCATGGTACAACTTTAAGTTGTACCTACACTTTCTAACAAATCTCTTTATGGTACAACTAAAAATTGTACCTATACTAATGGTACAACCTTAAGTTGTACCTACACTTTCTAACAAATCCCTTTATGGTACAACTAAAAATTGTACCTATACTAACGGTACAACCTTATGTTGTACCTACACTTTCTCAAAATTCTTTTATGGTACAACCCAAACTTGTACCTATACCATGGTACAACTTTAAGTTGTACCTACACTTTCTAACAAATCCCTTTATGGTACAACTCAAAATTGTACCTATACTAATGATACAACTTTAAATTGTACCTACACTTTCTAATAAATCTCTTTATGGTACAACTCAAATTTGTACCTATACTAATGGTACAACCTTAAGTTGTACCTACACTTTCTCAAAATCCTTCTATGGTACAACCTAAACTTGTACCTATACTATGGTACAACTTTAAGCTGTACCTACACTTCCTAAAAATTCTTCTATGGTACAACCCAAACTTGTACCTATACCATGGTACAACTTTAAGTTGTACCTACACTTTCTAACAAATCCCTTTATGGTACAACTCAAAATTGTACCTATACTAATGGTACAACCTTAAGTTGTACCTACACTTTTTCAAAATTCTTTTATGGTACAACCCGAACTTGTACCTATACCATGGTACAACTTTAAGTTGTACCTACACTTTCTAACAAATCCCTTTATGGTACAACTAAAAATTGTACCTATACTAATGGTACAACTTTAAGTTGTACCTACACTTTGTGAAACAAATTCTTCAATGGTACAGCTGAAACTTGTACCTATACTATATGGTACAACTCTAATTTGTACCTACACTTGTATACACTGATTCATTATTTACAAGATTGCCATTAATGATGTGGGACCAGTCATTTAGTGGGTTACCTCCTCAACAGGTCACCTTTTTTTTTTGTTTTTTATAGCATGGGTGCTATAGAGCACACTAGAAGGGCTCATCATGTAGATGCTATTACCATTCTTAGATATTATCAGTACGCAGAGGATGATCGAACTAGAATAAGGATAGTTATTCTATCATGTCTCTATGTTGGGGAGTAGTTGCATTTCTTACACTGAAAGTTAAGGCGAATGAAAGTTTGGATCGTTATAACGCCCATCTTGTGGTTCAAGATTTGGATAATGAGTATGGTCTTTACTATGACAAAACATATGCACCTACATCAAAGATGCAGATAGTTCGGGTCATTCATGGTTGGCCCTTGTTTCAACTAGATGTAAGAATATCTTCCTCCATGGCAATATGAAAGAAGTTGTATATATGAAATGACCACTAGGGTATAATGTTGCTCTCGCGGATAAGGTTTGTCTAATGCATCATTCTTTTTGTGGACTTAAATATGCACCGTGTCCTTCATTTGAAAAGTTCTAGTATAATATTATAGGCTTCGGTTTTAAGCAGAGTCAGCAATGATAACTCATTGAAAAGTTCTAGTATAATATTATTGACTTACACTCATTTTTCCGATTGCATTCCTATCTCAACTTCTATGGAAGTCAACTTACATCTTGTTCGTGAGTCTAGTGTTCCTCTCGTTAATCCATCTTAGTACCATCACATCCTCGAAAGTTAACTCTACTTAACACATAGTCATCCCAACCTTTCATATGAAGTCATATGGTTGACCAATTTATATTTGCTCCCAAGTTGATCATCTTGTAGTTATCCATCGTATCCTCTATTCTCGTGAAGTTGGGATCTTCCTTTTGACTACTAGGGATCTTACTTTATAGGCATTTTCTCGTTACGCTAGTTGCATTGATAATCAATGCCCCACCATAAGTTGCGGTGTCCAATTTGGCCATGCTTTTGTTGACGATGTTGTAGAAAGCACGATAATGTTGAGACTTTAGCTTTTATGGATCTATCGAGATTGAATTTCATACTATGTCTGATGTCGCCTATGGCTTTTCTGGATGCAAAGTCTTCTATGGACTATGGTATTAGTTACCATTCGCCCATCACACTTCATGTTGTTAACAAAGGTGCCATCCAGATTGTCATTCATCTGGTTCTTTATGATTGTGAGATCCCCAAGTGAAGAAATCATATATAGTGCCAATGCTTTTATCAAACTTTTCGGTTGCTCTAATGGTCGAAATAATGGATTTCTTGGGACTACAAGGAGCCTTTTGGTGAGGTGAATGAATTTTGTTAGTGAAGGTTGGAATGATTAGGTCTCTAAGATGATGTTGTAGTAGGATTGGATGGTTCGAGGTAGAAGGTTGCAGGAGTGGAGAAAGAAGGACTTAGGATTTGGGAGGGGAAATAGATGCATGTTCATAACTTGCAGTTTAATTGCATAAATTAGTGGACAGTCATATTTAAGTCAAAATTTGAATAAATTTGTTAATCTTCGTAAAGAATAAATAAATTCCTGCAATTATGTTAATGAGTAAATAGTTGTTGAGATTTTGAATGGCGTGAATGGAATGAAAGAGGAAAAAGTCATGAGAAGCTCTTGAAATACTAAATTAGTAAGATGCGTTAAGGCGATCTCAAATTTGGTCGATTTGATGTATATGTTGGTAATCGGTCATATTGTTTATGTCACCAACCGGTCCAAACCGAATCAAGTTGAACCAAATCAATCCGAATTGATGTGAGGATTGGAATAACTAAACCGGCCTAACTTCCACGAGCCAAACCGATGCAATGGTTAAAATATTTTAAATGAACCCTTGCAATGATTGGGGTGTGACGACCCATACGAAGAGTCTCCTCCCTTTGCACAGACCCCTTCATTCTCTATCAATAGCACCTATCCCCTCTGGTTTTGACATGCGTTTTTTCCTAGCTAAAACTCTTGCAAAATCTACATTGATATTTTTGCATTGTTCTCGCCATCTTGCTGCGTACGCTGGTTTCCGGGGTTTGAGTTATCGCTACGCCAGAAAGGTACGTCATTTTGTCCTGGGAGGAATCATTCTGTAACCTTGTGTACTAGAGGGGAATAAGATTCCTTAAGAAGATACAATGACTTATGTCGGTTAGGACGATTACATGTGTTTGTATAATTTTCGTGATCTTACATATTACTTGTTTTGTAAGATATAGTATACGTGAAGAATTTTTATAACAATAGTTTTCTACAATAATATAACCCTAAACCCTAATTTAACCCGTTAACCCCAAACTCATACCATATACTACCATTTCAATTTCTCAAACTCTGCCGGGTTGCAAGAATTAGGCGGCCGACACCAAGCTAGACTGTTTGTAGGCAACGGGTCGTGCCGCCCACGTACTAGTATGGCACGACATGGTTAGAGCACGACACGAGCACGGACACAAAATAAATGGGTCAGCCCGGCACGAGCACGAATAATTTATGGGTCATGTCGGGTCTAAACTTCATGGGCACATGCACGAGCACGGATACGACACGGTATATAAATGGGCCGTGTCAGGCCTAATATTTTCGAGACTTTATTGAGTATAAGAGCAGAAATGACACTAATATTTATTTGATAGAAAATAAATATAAAAAGAATTATAGGTTCAAATATTACAAAACACAAGTATAAAAATAATTATTTGTTCTTGTTAGAAGTGTCATAAAGATATATACGTAATTACTAACATAAGTAAAAATGGACAAAGAATTAAACAAAGTCAAATCACACTCGCTATACTAACTATTTTCTTTTCCTCCTTATTTGTTACTTTTCACAAACATTATCGGTTAATACTATCTTCCCCCGTCCAATTTTCACCTTCTTTTTCATTCTCTTTTGTTTCCGTCCTTTTCATTAAACACGAATACGAGCATGACACGAGCAAGAATAAGCATGACACGATTCGAACCGTGCCCGGGGCGGACCTATTAAAGTTAGCAAATGGACTTGTATGGCACGACACGAAAACTGACGGATCGTGTCAAACACCGCACGAAATAAATGGGCCCAAAGCGTGCCTGTGCCGTGCCGGCCCAAGCACTGCCCAGCGCCCATGTACAGGCTAGACCCATAGGCTGGCCTGGTTTTGGACTCCAGATTCTTACAGCGAGGCCTGATTTCCGTATCTCCAATGATGTTTTCCAGCCAACGTTGGTTTTGCAATTGCTAACTTTTTTTTTGGAAATTAGAGAGTTTGACATTTGCTATAAGTTGTAAAAAAACTCATTTTCCAAAGTAATATATATATATATATATATATATATATGGGTCAGACCGGTGTACTCATGGACTACACTATACTCCAGTCTCCAGGTACTCCTTGTGAGATATCTCTATCTAAACCATGAATTAAATCGAGTTCGGGGTATGATATTATACCCTAATTTCTAATTGATGAATCCCAGACCACGATTGTCTAAACTCAAACCCAACACTACAGGAAAAAATGAATACAGCAGCGGTTATTTTAATCTTAGGCAGCGGTTATCACCGCTAGGAATGATTTTGCAGCGGTGGGCATAACCGCAACAGAGCCGCTGATGTAACGGCCGTCAACAAAGTGTCTGCTGCGGTTTGAGTAGCCGCCGGGGTAAGGTCTGCAGCCGTTTTATGCAGCGGTTCTGGCCGCTTCTTTGGGGTCCCGACGTCGGGGGATCATGAGGATTTCGTGGCGGGTTCTGCTTCGGTTAAAACCGCTGCTGCTTCTTTGGCGCGAAGACTTCTTTGGTGGGTTTCTTGCTGCGACTTCCTGCAGCGGTTAAACCGCTACACTATTTTTTTGGGCCCAAATTTAATTATCATGCTTGCTTGCAGGGGTTTATTCAGCTTGATATACATATAATTGGTTCAGAGCAATCACACACAACAAATTAACCAGAAAACATACTTTAAAGTAGATTATACACCTGTAAACAATCACAACACATAATATTTCTATAATGTTGAACCAAACTATAATATATATATATAGATGATGTATAGAATTTTCAAAATATATAAGTTCCAAAAGATTCTGTACCCTTGTAACAATTCCTAAAATATCCAAGTAGCCATATGTTGATGTACGGTTTGAACCCGAAACACAAAATGATCTAAAACTTCATCTCAAAATATCTACTACTGAAGCGACCGACATTATGACTGCACGGCATGATTCTCTAAGTTGTGGCATTAAGGCTATCAGTCGATGAACTCATTCTAGCTAGAACCATGATTTCCAACCTGTTCAAACAGATTTGACAAGATGCAAACATTTAATAAGTAAAATTGAGATTCCACCATACACTTGACTAGCATATATAGGATATACTATAGCTGCCTACCTCAATGTTAACAACATCCACACTAGCAGAGCTTTCTGGCCTCCTATCTGTGAAAGCAGCAACTTGTTTCTGCAATTCCTCTACCTTCCTCTCTAAAGAAAGCACTCTATGATCGGTGGATGAACCAGTACTCATATCAGAAGTTGTAGAGTCAGCACATCCAGGAAACGAAGGTCCATAAAAGATTGTTGGAGTTGGACCAAATCCAGCACCTCGAACACGCCCTCCATGCTCTTTAGAAAACACTTCCCGAAACACCTGCTCACCGTTAGTTATGCCCTGAGATATAAGAGTATCTGCTTTTTCCTACAAGGAGAGATCGTATCCATATTAGAACAACATAGAAACAAACCGGAACTTCATCATCTAATGATCTCATACAAAAGCAACAGCTCGATTTAAAGGCTGCCTTTCAGAAGGTTCAAATATGATAAATCCACCACAAACTCATGACTTCTTGTACATTCTCTTTGACATAGTAAGCATGAAGGAACAAATTGGCAGAACCTAATCATGCAAGCCTAGAAGCTAAACCCTTGTCTTTTAAGCGAAACCATAAGTGAAAGTTTCTATTACTAATTTAAGCATTCATTTGTATAGGCTTTAAAGAACCATTCAATCAAGGAATCAGTTCAGTCTATGTTCCGCAATGTAGCACAACAAAACAAGTTGTGATTGAATTGACACATAATTAAACAAGGAACAAGTCAGCCTACTTACCAATATCGCCTGTACGTGCTCATTGGGTCTCTTATGGGTCAGCCTAAACAATTCCAAGCGATCTGGCACTTTTCCAGTGGCCTTTTCCTATGAATACAAATGTAAACATATCAATATTACGCACTTCTCACAAATACTTTAGTTAATAAAGAAAAAGGATACAACTGAAGTTACTATACAGTTTCATCAGTCACAACAGCAAAGCTCTTTCTTCCCGATGTGTGATGTGTCTTTAGTTGGCTTGCATTAGCTGTGTTTATTTCAGCTGTGAGGGTACAAGTAATTACAAGCAACTCAGAGTACACAGTTGATTTACAAGATGTTTGACAGCAATCATGCTAGAGAGAAGGCAGTAGTAGATAATAAGAAAGCAAAAATGCCTCCATTAAAATAGAGTAATTGAGTGTTGATTTTCAGATAATGAACTCTGTCAGTTGCCACAAGTTTTTAAACCCAATTTGATCCACCAATTCAACATCGAAAAAAGATGACCAAAATCCCGAAGCATACCAGACCATCATAACAAGGTTCAAAAAATTCCCCTGGCTTTTCCTTCTTCAGTTTTTATGTTCAGCTCGGCCATTAGACTACCTTAGTACTACCTACACATTGTGAAAAGATGGCCAAGATGCTAAAGCCAACCTGTTTCTCCACACCAATTCTCCTGACTATCATATTACCCTGGCCTTACCCTAACCAGTTGGATATTTATCTTGATTATTATACCATTGTATTACAATTCCCTCAACCTTTTGTGGATCGCTTAAATGGAGGCCTAGAATAGACTAAAGGCACAAAAAGGCAAGATAACACTATACCTGCTGATTACTACACGTTTTGATAGAGGGATTTTAGAAACAGGAGAGAAGTGTCCTGTAGGAACTGGTACCCTAAATTGAGCTTTTCATATACGGAGAACAAAAATCAACACTCAATTAAGCTACAAGAGACTTGCACCTAGCTGTTAGATGGATTAATCGATTATGAGTTCTGAAACTTTTGATTTATTAGATGGTAAAGCAATCACGTACCTAGCTGCAGAGTAATTGCAGGTCGAGGCTGAATCGGAGTTGCAGCATCCTGCTAAATACAAAATCGAACGGAGATCGTCACTGGCGGCGGACTGAGTACTGAAACCTCTGATTTATTAGGTGCTAAAGCAATCACGTACCTTGCTGCAGAGTAATTGCAGGTCCAGGGTGAATCGGAGTTGCGGAATCCTGCTAAATACACAAAATCGAACGGAGATCGTCACTGGCGGCGGACTGAGTTCTGGCAGCGGACTGAGCGGGAAGTGCAGCCAGCGATCGGGAGGTCCGGCGAGCAAGAGGTTTAGCGAGCGGGAGGTCCGACGAGCAAGAGGTCCGGCGGCTTGAGCGAATTGACAAGGAGGTCTGATCGGCAGAGTGAGTTCTGGTAGTTGTGAGAGCTCGATTGATAATGAAATTGGGGATTGTTCCCTTTCGGAGGAGGCCAAGAGGCTAACCCGCGCAGATTTTTGCCAAATTAAAATTTAATATTTAAATTACCCCCAAAACCCAAAAAAGAACAAGGCCCGCGCAGAGTTCCCGCCATCAGCTATGGAGCGGTTTGATGAACCGCTGCTTCAATCGTATCTATTGGGCCGGAGGATTTTTTGTGGCAGCGGGGGCGAAACCCGCTACTTGGAAACCGCTTGTATATGTCCATTTTCCTGTAGTGCAAATTTTCAATTAAATAGAAAATAATAATTGACTGTTGAGATTAGCCGGAGTTTATCAAAGTTAATCTAACAGTAAGATCATCTGGAGTATAATATATTCCTAGAGTATATCAGTCAGTACCGTATATACATATATGGCAAAGAGAAAATTGTAAAAGAGTTTGTAGAAAATAGTATTATTATAATTATTATTGGTATTATGTGTGAGTACAACATCTGAATTATAAATACAGAAAAGAAGTACATACGGCGGATAAACCTGATACAATAAACGTACAAACCCTTATAGAAAACAAGATAGTACATACAGCAATGGAAATTGTCCTTGTCTAACATCCTTATCGGTCACTCTAACCAGTAATATGCAATATTTTATCACATTATTGCTGTACTAATTAAATTTATATTATCTGATTAGTGCACCACTTTCGTCAGAACAAACGCAAAAATCTTATTCCATTTGTCCTGCTGCTTAATCTAATCGTACCATACAACACATATCCGTTCTATTGTTTTATTGATATAAGGATAAATTATTTTACTTGCCCATTGCCCAGCCTGATCATCAACTGATTTAGGCCTATGACGGCTACCGAAGTGGTAATGTTAGCCATCAGATTCCATTCGGATCGTGAATACTAACAAAAGTCCATTCACTCTCGCTTCACGTATTTATATTTAAATTTTTTTCATGACGCTTCAATTTGTATTCGTAGTAATTGATCCGGCTGTAACTTTTGCATAATAAAACAATTTCTTTGGATATTTTCAAGAAATATTTAAAAAATAACTATTGAGTGTTTAATTGAAAAACTATCAGAATTACTTTCTAAAGTAAGATGGAATGAAAAATGACTAAAAAATATTTCTAACATAAAATATGAATACAAATTCTAATAATAAAAAAGTATTTAAAATGGATCACGTTAGATTTATTTCATATTAAATAATACTATTTTTCAATTTAACATTTTATATCGATATAAATGAAAGAAAATTATGGTAAATTGGGAATATCTGTTCTTAATGATGTCTGTCATGGGGTTCTCACGAGGTTTCGTTAGATGGATTTCGTTGTTTGTAAAAACAGTTCATTTTAGCATAGTGAATGGTGGATTATGTGGTTATTTTGGGGCTAAACTTGGGGTTAGACAGGGGGATCATTTGTCACCTTATCTGTTTACCATTGCCATGGAGGGTTTAACTATTATTCTTAATGCTGCTGCTCATTCTGGTCTAATCCCCTACCATTCATAGTGTAAGAGGGTTCAGTTAACACATCTTAGCTTTGCTGATGATCTTTTAATCTTCACTGAGGGGTCTGGAAGGGCTATTGTTGGTGTGCAGAATCTTCTCCATGAGTTGTCTGGATTTCAGTGCAATCCTCGAAAGTGTGAGGTATATTTTGGGGGGGGGGGGGGGGGGTGTTTTGTTGATTCAAGCACCACGCCCTTGAGTTATCTAGTTTTCAAGAGGGTAAGCTTCCAGTTCGTTATTTGGGGCTCCCTCTCCTTTCAGGAAAACTCTCTTCTGCTGTTTGTGCTAGGCTGGTGGACAAAATCACTCAGAAAATTAAAAGCTGGAAGGTCAAAAAACTCAGTTATGCTGGTCGGTTACAACTTATATCCTCTGTTTTTATGGGTGTACTGCAGTACTAGATGCAAGTGTTTATTCTGCCCAAAAAGGTGCTTAAGCAGGTGCATAAGGTGTGCTCTAACTTCTTATGGCATGGTGGTGAAGAGGGGAGAGCTAAGGTTGGCTGGGAAAGACTAGCGAGGCCTTGAAATGAAGGAGGAGTGGGTCTTAAGGAACTGTTTTCCTGGAATCAGGCTTGTACTACCAGGATGATTTGGCTAGTGCTTATGCAAAGTGGGACTATCTGGGTGGTCTGGATTACATAGTATCGAATCAAAACAGGTAGTATTTGGATAATAGGATCCCCATCTAGTAGTTATTGGGCTTGGAGACGTATTCTTAAAGTTCGTTCAGAGGTTCAAGGGCACTTCACAAGGTAGGGTACTTCGTTATGTTGGGATGGCTCTCCTATGCAACGATAAATAGTTGGTTTGGTGTGGGATTCTATTCGGATGAGGTGGCCAAAGGTGGATTGGAATAAGCTGATCTGGGGAAAAGGTTTTCTAGCAGGACCTAGTTTCTTAGCTTGGTTAATTCTTCATGATAGTATTGTTACGAGGGATAAATTGATAAAATGGGGAAAGTAGATTGATAATGCCTGTGTTTTATGTTGTAGCCTGCTTGAATCACGAGAACACCTTTTTTTTAAATGTTCTTTCTCGCAGGAGCTATTGTTTTTTTCTTCCATTGTGAGGACTGGTTTTGCAGAGGTGGTTGACCTAGCACCTTATCAACAACATGCCAACTCAGCCGAAAAAACACAGCTGCAGGATGATTGGGGGGGACGGATATGGTGTTTATGTGCTGCAAATATCTGGAAGGAGCGTTGTAAACGAGTTCATGGGATGATGGTCGAAGTGCAGCAATGATGGACAAATTGATTATGCAAGATTTGCAGTTTATGAGTGTGTTTAATGGTAATGTGAAGTGTGATATGCAAGTGTTAGGAGTTGGTCTCTAAAATGATTGGTGGTGTCGTAGTGGTGTGGTGAATGAGAGGCTTATGTCCTCTCATTTTTGTTTTACCTGGGTTTTTGCCCACTTCATTGTATCATACTCTTTCTTTTATTTTGTTAATGAGAATAACTGATTCAACGGAATTTTTTTGTATTTTTAAATAAAAGATTCTACTTTTAGTTACGAAAAATTCCAATTTTTTAAAAAGCAAAACTTTAGAGCTATTTGACTTGACTTTAACTTTTGAAACATAAAACTTCAAAAATTTGAGCCAAACATAGTCGTACTCTATTGTTTTTTTTTTTGGGTTTGAGGTAATCGTGGTCTCATTTATGAAATTTTTGGACTAATTGCAGGTTTGAGGAGTATTGATCGGGTCAAATTAGGCTGGATACCCATGGATTTGGGTTCAAATGTCTTTCTCAAACAAATGGAAAAAGCGAAATGAAAAACACTAAAGCTAAAACTCGCTACTGACTCAAAATTCGACAACACCAAGTTCAACTCACTTTGATCTGATTGGACCGAGTTTTGGACAAATTCACACCTAACACAACACGCCAATTTCAAAAACAGATAAAACTTGCTCCCGTAGAAAATCTGTAAAATCGCTTTGGTCGGGTCGAATTAGGTTGTATACACATGCGTTTTGACTCAATTGTCATTCTCAACCAAAGGAAAAAGATGAAAAAAATTATAATGCGGATAAAACTTGCTCATGACCCCAAACGCTCAACACTACGTTACACTCTCTTTGACCGGGTCGACCTAGTTTTAACAAATTCACAATTTACCCAACCTATAAATTACAAAAGCAGATAAACATCGCTCTCGATACCAATGAGTCAAAGTTCAATTGTCATACAAAACTCGTTGTCGATCTAAAACTAGTCAACAATGTGTTCAACTCGCTTTAAACAATTTTTAAACAAATCAACGCTTTGTCCAACCTTGCAACTACAAAAGTGGATAAAGGTCACACACAATATAACACTCATCAAAACCTTAGATTCGGGTTCAATTGTCTTCCCAACCAAAAGAAAAAAAAGAGAAATTTATAAATGCTAAAGTATGTTTCAAGTCACTTTGAGCTGATCGAATTAGGTTGGATACCCATGGATAAGGGTTCAATTGTGATCATGGTCAACAAAAATGAAAAGGTGAAAGAAAAAAACACTAAAGCGAACGAAACTCGGTCTCGATACAAAACTCGCCAACATTGAGTAGATATGGTATGGATTTTCGGTAGCGGCATTGGGTTCAATTGTGATCATTCTCAACTAAAAGGAAACAGAGAAAGAAAAAAAACACTAAAGAGGATGAAACTCGGTCCAATTGTGATCATTTTCAATGTTGGCATCATCTGGTTGCTGCACTTTCGGGATCAGAACGATTAGCGTATGGTTGAGGTCGTCTGGGATCTCTCCACCAGCCAGAATTCCAAGCACAGTATTGATGACATCATCTCCAACAATATGCCAGTACCTACGGAAAAAGAACACCGAAAAACCGTCAGCACCGAGGGCTTTCTGTTTAGCCATTTTTTTCAAGGCCACCACGATTTCTTCTCGGTCAAAAGGGCGCATAAGCTCCTAGTTGTCCTCGGCGTAGAATGAACATTTGATGGAGTCAACCACTAGTGTCGCTGCTGGGGCTACACCTGCAGTAAACATAGATGTAAAGTAATCCGTAAAGCACTTGAAGAGTGCCTCCTTCCTAGTGTACATCCTGTCTTCCTCGTCTCTTAGTTTTCGCAGCATATTCCTTCTCCGTCGTGCACTGGCTTTTTTGTGAAAAAAATTCGTATTTTTATCTCCATCCTTCAGCCAGTCTGCACGAGATCGTTGCTTCCAATATTTCTCCTCGTTATTTTCAAGTTCCTCGACTTCAGTCCGGAGTTGTCGAAGCTGCTGCAGAACTGCTTCAGTTTTCGGCATCCTTTCGAAGCTCATTGTGGCTCTCATAATCTTCTTACGCTATTTATTAAAATTTGGGAAACGCTCCTTGCTCTAGTCTTTGAGTTTCTTCTGGAAAGTGTTAAGCTTTTCCAAAATATTTGCCTGGAAATGATTACGCCATCCATCCTCAACTATCTCTACACAATCTTCATGTTTAGACCAGAACAGGTCAAAACGGAAAGACCAGCCCCATCGGGGTTTTGCACCATCCTCTTCGTCAGTACATCACATGATCGGCCGGTGGTCAGATCGGGTACTATCTAAGTGTTGCACCCATCCCTCTATGAACCGCTGTTTCCAAAGATCATTTCCAAGGAAACGATCAAAACGCTCCTCAATGTAATCACCTTCCCTCTTTTGTTTTCCCACGTTAAAGGATATCCACAATAGCCAAGATCATTCTATCCCGCCTCAGTCAGACTGCTGGTAAACCTGCTCATCTCGCCATCTGCTACCCTTCTGCCCCCACTCTTTTCATTCACTTATTTAACTTGATTTAAATAACCACTCACTAAACAAGGACCAGCCCACGTCTTGGCCAGCTCCTTAATAGTTCATTAGTTCTCTCCATATCCTTGTTTTCCGGCCAGCCATACACACCTGTGAAACGCCATGCACCCTCACTTTGGTCATTGCCTCTCATGTCTAGAAAATTTGTTGTCGAGTCAATGCAAGTAAGGGATACATCAGACGTCCATCAAATACTCTGTTGTCCATCTGCTACCATTCTCAAACCCTAGTTCATGTTGATCCTGCACCTTCTCGATATTGATCCTGACCATTTTCGGTCTGTTGGTGGCCATCCAACGTCTTGTCTGCAGTCTGTACCTCGTCTACCATCGGTTGGCTCGGTTGCGTGGAAGATACACTTCCTATAGCTGGTACCTTATTATTATTATTTACTGCACGAAACAACACCTTAGCTGTGCCTCCCGGGGCCGCATCCGTCGCCTTCTCGATATTGATCCTGACCATTTTGGGTATGCTGGTGGCCATCCAACGTCTTGTCTACAATCTGTACCTCTTCTACCATCGGTTGGCTCGGTTACGTGGAAGAAACACTTCCTACAGCTGGTACCTTATAATAATAATAATAATAATAATAATTATTATTATTATTATTTATTGCACGAAACAACATCTTAGCTGTGCCTCCCGGGGCCGCATCCGTCGCCTTTTTCTGGTTATTCGGTGTCGTTTGAGCTTTCTTGTTACCGCTCTCCTCATTAGTAGTCTTTGGGGCTTGTGGTCTTTGTGGTTTCTTTGTATTATTCCCATTCTTCACATGCACATTCCTTCCTTCCTCTGCGCCATTCTTCTTGTTTGGCTCGATGGTTTTGTTTTTCTGTTGGGTTTGCTGAGTGACGGGCCCATGTTGAGAAGGCTTAGAATTGTCACCCTCACCTTCAGCATGCAGTACATCAAAATCTGTTGACGAAGTTCCCTTGCCTTTCCTGTTCCGAGCCACTCCTCTTCTTATTCGCCGCCATCTTATTACTTGGTCTCCAAGCCTTCTGCTTCACTACCATCCAATTCCCTTACATCTGGCCAATAGGTAAATCAGCTGTTTGCGGGGCCTTTCCATTCTCTTCCACATTACTCTCTGGTTCCTGTTCCTCTTGGGGATTATTTGGGCATTCACCACTATGGAAATCATAGCATCCGCACTTGCCGCACAGTCGATGAAGCCCCACATAACCCACTCCAAAAGCGATGCCTTCTATTTTGTACTGTGAGAAGAGGGGTTTCATTAAGTCTACTTCCACACAAACCCTTGCATATTTGACCCTCGCCCCCATTATTATAGCCCGATCTACTCGAATTGGTCTCCCAATTCGTTGAGATATACGAGTGATTGCATCCTTATTAAAAAGTCAAAGGGCAATTCTGGTAACTGAACCCCAGACCAGGGCTGAGTTGACGTGTGATTTCCAAAGATTAAAACCCTTATACCAATGTATCATAGTAAGGTACGTGTCGCCAATCACCCATGCCCCCCCCCCCCCCGGATGATGCATACTCATAGTCTTCTTTAACCTTGAATCTCACTAGATAGCATCCATTAGACATATCAGGAATTTTTATAGCTCCTCTTCGTGCCCACAGCGACCACAACCTATTGGACAGTGGGGTAAACGGGATATCACGACCTAAACCCTTAACTATCAGAGTTGACCTCCACTTCCGTCTCTAGTCGAGCTTTTCTTTGGCCGTATACAAAATTGTTGGGCATCTTGGATTATCTTCCTCAGCAATGTAATCATCCTCCCCCTTGTTAGCCATTTCAACGTCCTTCGTATCGGATTCAGCTATGAACCACTCATCATCTTCATCTATGCCTTTGAAAAGCTTCGCCGATCCATTCGATCATGATCCTTTGGGTGTATCCGTTTTGGTTTGAGTTTTGATTTCAACACTGTCCTCTAGCATCTCATCGTCCAACTTCGCATCTTTAGTAAGGTCGAAAGCCCTGGGTCTTTTCTTTTGGTGTTGAGTCTCCTTGTCCTTCACAACTTTCCCATCCGGCCAAGACAAGGCAATAGGGGGTCTCGTGGAACCCGAAACTGGGTCCGGGGGTTTGGCAGCCATAGCAGGTTCAAAAGAACGGCGCCACACCTCCGAGCTGGAAACCCTAGCATCGCCGAGCAAAATCGCTTTCTTGGGGTTCCGGGAACTTCAGAGCTCTCTTTCGATATCCCTAATTCTAATTTTACTATTTAGATTATTAATTAACTGAATTTAGGGTATGACATTATAATCTCACCTTTAGTTGACAAACCCGGCCCATATCGTAATTTTCAAAATCCAAACAATCATATCAACTGAATCAAATAATAACTAATAACGATCCTGATCCATCAAAGTATCTCTAGAATGTTTGAGCAGACATATAAGGAAAAAAACCCAAAATACACATGTTTTTTGAAAAAAATTCTCAAAATTTACATATTTATGCATCACTGGTGTAGTCAACCGCAACTTTGCGCTCCAAAGTTATGCGCAATAAAAAAAACTTTACGACGTTCGGATTAAGTAGCTAAAAGTTATGGCATTCCAAAGTTTGGCAAAACCGAAAATTGCTCGTTCGGGGTAACAAGCGACATTTTTTTTGAGATGACAGCCTGTTGCAGATTGAAAGATCTTGACATGTAATGTGGAATAAAAAAAATTCGCTACAATCGGATAACCGAGCGCAAATTACGTTCATTTGAAGTTTCAGAGTTAGGTCAGGCATTCATCGAGGCCGTCGACCGCGGTGATGCATTCACCGCTTTCGTCTGCCGCGGTGAATGCATTCACTTCGGTTGACATCCGGAGTGATGCTCAAACATGTGTATTTTGGGGAATTTTTTTATAACATGTGTATTTTGGGAATTTTTTTTTAATATATGTGTATTTTGGGATTTCATCCACATATATGTTCCCCTTCCGGTCTACAGCATGCAGACGGAGCTGATACCCTAAAAAAAAAAAGCCAATCAGGTGAGAAAGAAGTGTGCGTCGATAGGTCACCGATCCAGGTAACCATAAAGAAAGAACCGCCGCCCGACTGAACTGAAAGGAGTATATCGAGGCTAGAGCTTGGTGCGCTAATAGGGGTGGATTCTCCCCCGGTTTTAGCATTCCATGTCTGTAAGACCATCGACAAACTTAATAGGGACTTCATCTAGGGAGACGAGGAGGACAAGAGCAGGATGCACCTTATAGCCTTAGCCTTAGAACGAATGATAGCCCCGAAAAATAAAGGAGGGATTGGAATTAGACCCTCGAGGCAAGCTAATATGGCGATGTTGGCTAGGGGGGGGATGGCTCCTGATTCATGAGAAGGACAACCTGTGGGCGCAAGTGATGGAAGCGAAGTACGTAAGACAAAGGCAGGGCCTCAACTTACTCCAGTCAATTCAGGGAAGCTCCTTTACCTGGTCCAACTTTTCTAAACCTGCACATCTTCTGGAAAAAAATGATGTTCCTTGGATTTTGGCTTGATCCTTGGATTTTGCAGGTACCACTTCGAGAGGTGGCTACTGGTGACATTTCGCACAAGCTTGAGGAACCGGTGGTTGATGTGTTTGTTGGGGACCAGGGGAGGTGGTGCGTGGAGCTTTTCGACAGCCTTTTGTCGACTGAGATTACTCAGGAGATTTTGAGTGTTGTAGTGGATAAACTTTCTCAAGATCAGGACCGCTTCTGCAGATGGTTTTTTCTCCACTAAATCGGCGTTTACACTAATTACGCATCTGCAGGATCCGGATAAGAAGACTTGGAAGGCTATTTGGTGATTCTCGGTTCCGGAACGGATCAGAACCTTTATGTGGCTTACTTTTTCGGGCAGAATAGTCACCTATACTCTCCGATACATCAAAAGGATCGCGGCAAACCCGTTCTGTGACAGGTGCACGGGGAAACCAGAGACGATCCTTCATATACTCAGAGACTACCCCCCTGCTATATTCTTCTGGCCTCGGCAAGTTCCTAGTGGACAGCAACAACACTTTTTAGCATCCCACAAATGAAATGGCTTCAGATGAGTTTGTTAGATGGCAGATCAACCCCCAAAGGAATCCTCTGGCCTGCTTTATTCAGCATGGCACCGTGGCTTATATGGAAGAATAGGTGTGTAGCTTCTCTCCAAGGAAGGAACGTAGCGCTATCTCCCCCGAATTTTGAACATTCCATCGATACGAAGACCATGCTCTGGCACGTCTCGTGGCACGCTCCGACACTCCTTCCCGACAATCGATCGCGGCCAGCTGATCCTCAATGGGCTAAATATTGGGTGGTTGCCTCCTCAAGATGAATGGGTTACGCTGAATGTAGACGGGGCATCGAACGGGAACCCCGGACCGGCTTGGGCGGACGGTGTACTCAGGGACACAATAGGATGGTGGCTTGGAGGTTTCGTGGCTAACATCGGATCGACGAAAGCAACTCTGGCAGAGGTTTGAGGGATTAATTATGGTTTGAATTTGCTTGGAAGCTTGGCTGCCAAGTGGTCAAAGTTTAGACGGACTCCTAGTTGGCCATGCACCTTATTCAGAATAGAGTTGATCCTTTACACCTGTATACTACTCTTCTTTCGATGATCCGCATGAACCTGAGTATGGATTGGTTGGTTAGCATCACTCATACATAGCACGAAGGAAATAGAGTCGCAGACTGGCTCTCGAAGCACAGTCTCGTCTATCTCTACGATATGCATGAGCTTGCTGAACCATCTCTCGAGTTAGCGCCTATTATGCGTGATGATCTTCTAGGAACTACGTTCGAACTTCCCCTTCCTCTTAACCCTTGTATTCCCCTGCCTCCGTTTAATGCCAAAAAAAAAAAATCCCCTTTATACATTAATAGTCCATGGTAAGTTTACGATTAACCTAACAATTGAGTGTTAGCGGTCTCTAGTACTCGGAGGCGGAGCTAGAGTGTTAGAGGGTGGGTCCCGTATATAGAGAAAAATGGGTAAATTAGGTAAAATAATTAACTGAGAATAAAAATTAGGGACATCTTATTGAGAATGACAAAGGATTGATGTATAATTTACAAATCGTTCATTCACAAATTCAAAATTTTGTAACGAGTTAAGTAAAACTAACAATGATGCATATTCAACATTAATAATAAATTTATGCTAATTTGTAAGAACATAAATTAAACTTTATTTCTGGTAGAGAAGAGGAACAGTGTTATAGGGTGGGTCCTCATGAGTAAAATGGATAAATTGTATATGCTAGTTAAATGTCAATGAAAATTAGGCACGTCTAATAAAGAATGGATGACCGAAGGTCTTGTATCTGCACCTTTGTGATCTCATATGATAAGTACATGATAATCGAATCTGTACTTCAAGCCATATAAGTTTATCTTTATTTGAGAAAGTGTGTTAGTAAATAGTGTACCACCAATTATTCAATATAACATCTAGTTATGGATAATAAATTAATCTTGACTAAGCGCATCATTCGAAAGCAAACTACTAACTAAATCATGAATAATGATTTTATACACATATTGTAATAGCTTTTATAGTTTGGACTATCAATTTATTTTAATTTATCAAACTTTTCAAACTATAATATTTAATTATGATTAAAACCGTTAACAAAAACTATTTATCCTTTATCCTATGTAATTTTTTGAAAATGGACCCACACTAGAGGAATTCCTGCTATGCCCCTGTTAGTACTATATATGTTGATGCTCCTGGCTGACTGTCGTAGAGAGACAATAGCTTAGTTTGGTCCTGCTGTAGCTTTTGCAGAAGCAGCTTCTGGCTGGAGCTTTTAGATAAGTACTTTTCAAAAAAAGCAGTTGAGTGTTTGGCTATAAAACTATTAAAAGTGCTTTTTAATATGAGAGATTGTGTAAAATGACTATAAAGGACTTATAATATAAAATATGAATAAAAATTCTAAACAATAAAGAGTAGTCAAAATGGATCTTGTTAGATTTCTTTTATATTAAATAATATGATTTTATAATTTATTTTATTTTTAAAATGATATAAATGAAGGAAAATTATATTTTCTGAAATAAAATTAAAATATGGTAAGGATAATCTTGTATTTTCAAAATAGCTTTTCGCAGAAGCTCCAAATCGGAGCTTCTGCTTTTATGTTATACAAAAGCGCTTTTCGGCTTTTCAAAAGCTGAGCTTTTACAGGTGTTTGGCCCTGCTTCAGCTTTTGAAGCCGAAAAGCACTTCTAAAAGCCGGGCCAAACATAGGGAATAAATATTCAGCCTCGCACACGTTGGTCGTCTGGTTACTTGCTAACAGATGGTAGGGATGCGCAAATCGTGCGGTTTGACCGCACCGCCATCATTCTAACTGCATCGCATATTTATTGGACCGCACCACATACATGATTGCAAGCTAATCGGTGCAGTCAAATTGAATCATATAATTAGCTATATGACTCGGTTTTGACTGCAACTGCATACATGACCACAAAGTCATTCACTAATCGATTTCATCATACTCTAAAAAGGAGTATAACCTGTTTTTTATTAACAATAAACTATTAATAGAACCTTCTGTTTGTTCGTATAACAACAAATATTACACTATCGGATTGTTATGGGAAAGGAATCCAATCAATAAGCAAAGGAATCCAAGTAACAAGTCTCTATGTTTGTTCATAAAAGAACAAATATTACTATCTTTGTTGTGCCGGTAATTCTGGTCCTAGATGGTGAGGTGTAGGTGACACGCACAGGGTCGTATTGCATGCTCTGTTGAGAAAGATCAAAGCTTTTTTGGGGATAGAAATGGAACAAGTTTATATTCCTCTGTTTCAAGTCGGGAAGAACAGATTAATTAAGCAAAATGTCTATATGGTCATAGGCGTAGCCAGAGATATAATTTAGTGGGGTCCAAACATAACCAAATACGAAGTTTGACTCGATAGTAAAATCATTGTCTCGGAAAACAGGGGGTCCGTGGTTCTAAATTAAGTAACCCCACCTTAAAAATCCACCATTCTTAATGTATATTCATTTTCCAAGTGTGGTCCATGGACTCCACAACCCTTAACCTAGCTCCGCCAATGTATATGGGTCAGTATTATTTTTTTCCGACCGGTATTGTTAATTTGTTAGTTGTGCCAGTAATTCTGGTCCTACATAGTGAGGCGTAGGCGACACCCTCAAGGTCTGATGGTATGCTTCGTTAATGAGAACGATTAAAGCTATTTATGGGATGCCCACCTCTACCGAATGGTAGGAAGTGTATAGTTATGAAATGATATCATCAGTAATTGTAAGGGTTAATACCTTATTATGGCCTGAATTATGATCATATAATCAACTTTGGCCCGTGGTTTGAGAAATTAACATCCTGGCCGGAACTATGCATCATATAGACAGAATTGGCCTGGAGCGTGGTTTGACTGTTTGTTTGGACGGTCAACACCGTTGACCGTTAGTCAACTGTCCAGGTCACTGCCATGTCACAAAAAAAAATTATAATTTCATTTTTCTTTTTATTTCCTTTACAAAATTGAATAATAAAGAGAAAAAAAAATTGGCCACCCAACCCGGAATTCCGCCCCCAAATCCATCCGTCGTTTTCTTGCAGGAACTCGAAGAGCTCCAGGCCGTGATCCATGTTGTTGTTCACCTCCGGCCCGTAGAGGTAGCGGAGGGAATCGATGGCGGCGTAGTATGGGAGGTAGGTGGCGTCCTGGCCGGGATCTTGGGTTAAACACGGGTATTCGAGCATCCGCCGGTGGAATGTGAGCTCGAGGAGGAAAGGGTCGGTGCGGTACCATGAGTGGGATCGGTTGTGGGTCTTGGGTCCGAGGCCGGGATTGGAGAGGTAAGGGCAGAAATTGTAGAAGAGGTCGTACTCTGAGCAATTTGTGAGGAGATCGAGGTTGAACCTCGCCGGGAGACGCCGGATGTGGATCCAACGGCCGGAGCAATCGAGTTGTGGAACCACCGCCGCCGCCGCCGATGATGATTCTCCGCCTCCTCCGCTTTCGCTTCCGGTTTCTCCTGATCATGCTCGCTCTTTTGTGGACTTGGATGCTTGTTGCTGAGAAAGTGCAGGGCTGAGCAAGAGGAAGAAGAAGAAGAGGAGGAAGGAAGGGAGGGAAGGGGAAACGGGTACGGACGCCATGGATGGGTGAAAGCTTCGGACGGACAACAATGGAGGAAAGAGAATTTAGGGATTCATGTTGTTGTGTTAAGGTTTTTTGTGTTCTGATCGAAAAGGAAAGAAGGCGAGGGGATAAGGTGGGGATGGGTGCCCGTGTTTGGGTTCTGATGAAAGCGTAACGACCGGTCGCCGCTGCATTTGATGTCGGAGAGAATGGAGGCGGCGGGTTATCGGGGAAGAAGATGGAAGATAGGGTTTGTTTGGGTTTGATCGAAAAGGAAAGAAGGTGAAGGGATAAGGTGGGGATGGGTGGCCAAAAGTTATTGTTTTTTTCTTTATTATTCAATTTTGTAAAGGAAATAAAAAGAAAAATGAAATTATAATTTTTTTTTGTGGCGTGGCAGTGACCTGGACAGTTGACTAACAGTCAACGGTGTTGACCGTCCAAACAAACGGTCAAATCACGCTCTAGGCCAATTCTGTCTATATGCTGCATAGTTCGGGCCAGGATGTTAATTTCTCAAACCACGGGCCAAAGTTGATTACATGGTCATAGTTCAGGCCATAATAAGGTATTAACCCTAATTGTAAGGAGCGGATATATATGGCGACTACCTTAGCGGTAGTCACTGTGATAACAAAGAGAAAACTTGACATGAAATCATTAAAACACTACCACTTCAAAAAATACCAATCCAATACAAAACAAGGCAGGTTCACCAATATCAATTGAAAAGAACTAATATATTAATCCAGCGCAAGCTAGTACTAGTTCAGTCGGACAGGCAAATCAATACTAGTTCAGCCAGATGAATACCAATCCAACGCGAACCAATAAAAATAGTAAAAATCTCATGAGATTTTGCCATATATTATAGAGGGTTTTAAAAAAAAAAAAGGCTTTCTCATATCACTAATTCACTATCTTCGTTGTGTAATCCAATTTTTCTCTTAAAAAAAAACAAAATTATTTCCATCAACCAACCCATACACACGAAGCAAGACTATACTCGTGCTATCAATGGAATCATTCTTGTCAATAAAGACAATAAAAGCTCACACTTGATAACAAAATTTGCATAGTGAAAAGATTCATATGTCACTTTCTCCAATATAATTGCCGTCGTACAGCTTGGATTTTGTTGTTAACAAGGTATTGTTTTTTTCTAGGATTCGGTCGGAACAAGTTGCTTCATGTGAATTCAGCAATTTGATTTATTATTATTTTTTTTTTTTTTATTTGTAGCAATTCGTACCCCTTGACAACAACTAAAACCCGATACATATAATAGCACTCTTACTACCGGTTACCAACAACAGCACACAACACCACCACAGCGCTATAAATATCGGCATAGGTTAACATAGTCCGAAACCACCACTAAGAGCATTTTGCGTTGTTACCTTCAAACCAAAGCTAAAACAATGGGTTCAGAATCTTATTCCAAACTCCCATTCCTAGATTTCTCAAAGCCAGAACTAACAAAGCCAGGCACTCCACAGTGGGAATCCTTGAAATCCCAAGTTCGCCAAGCCCTGGAAGAGTATGGCTGCTTCGAGGCATCCTTCGACAAGATTTCTGCCGAAATTCGCACCGCGGTTTTCGAGTCACTGGAAGAGCTTTTCGACCTTCCTCTGCAAACCAAGCTGCGGAATGCATCCAAGAAACCCTTCCATGGTTATGTTGGACAGTACCCTCAGGTTCCACTCTATGAAAGCATGGGCATCGATGATGCCGATACTCCTGAAAAGGTTGAAAACTTGACCAAGACGTTGTGGCCTCAAGGAAACCCGCGTTTCAGGTAATTAAGTTGCCATAGTACATATTCTTCTTTTTCTTTCCTCGTGATGTGAATAATTAATTTTCCTTGTATTTGGCAGCAAAACAATCCAATCTTACTCGGAGCAGCTTTCAGAATTCGATAAAATGGTGAGAAAAATGATCGTCGAAAGCTTTGGACTTGAGAAATACATGGACGAACACATCGACTCCACAAACTACCTACTGAGGGTGATGAAATACAAAGGTCCCAAGACCCCTGACACCAAAATTGGTCTGCACTCTCACACAGACAAGAACATCGTGACCATATTGTATCAGAATCAAGTCGAAGGACTGGAAGTGCAGACCAAAGATGGCGGGTGGATTAAATTCCAGCCCTCCCCAAACTCTTTCATCGTCATGATTGGCGACTCTCTTAATGTAAGTTTCACTCTCTCACTCAGCTATCACACTTTTAGATGTGAAATGGATTGTATTCGTATACGAAGTCAAAAAAAATTGGCTTAAATCGGTTAATGAATTCATATTTTGTCCCGCGCGGTTGGCAGTAATCTATACCGAATGATGTATTGGTGCGTTGTTTTCTTGCAGGCATGGTTGAATGGTCGGCTGCATTCAGCCTTTCATCGTGTGATGATGTCTGGAAATGAAGCCAGATATTCCCTAGGCTTATTTTCAATACCAAAAGCTGGTTACATTATCAAAGCCCCGGAAGAAGTGGTTGACGAGGAACACCCTTTGGTGTTCAAGCCCTTTGATCATGTGGAGTTTCTTAAATTTTACTACTCGGAAGCTGGCCAAAGAGCACCTTCTGCTTTGCATGCTTACTGTGGAGTCTAAAACTGTATCTCTACGATTATCGATATGATCCTACGGCTGCTGGTGCTTGTTGTCTGTTGACTTCGCGTGTTTCCTTGCTATTTTATTATGAATAAAATGTTCGGTAATTCTACTTCTTAACCAACCACTTGTCCAGTTGGAGTTTGGAGAAAGATAGATACAGACAAGAAGAGAAACTTTTGTAAAATATAAATCACCTAAGATAACATATATCAAAAGTGGGCCTTTTTTACTCGCTCAATTTCCGAATCCTAACAAACTCGTTTCTGGGCCAGCAGATGGACTGGTATATTAAAGCCTACAAGGATGAAACGCTAGTCTTTGACCTATATATACTACCTTTCCAAATTTCTCTCCCGCTCTCTTCTTGAATCCTTCGCAATGATTGTAAAACAGTATTGGAGGTTGGATCGAAAAACTCAATGGTATAATATTTTAGTGAAATTGTAGTTTAACCGTAGTTCAACCATTTCATAAAGTTAAATGTCACTTACCGATTCAACCTCCAATAAAAGATTTTTCTAAACGAACCGCAAATATAGTACGATTTTTCATTCTTTCCCCTTACGAATATGAACGGTTATAAAATTTCTCAATTAACCATTGAAGCCTTAAATAATTGTGAGTGTATTTTGTTCTGCATCCTAAAAAAAATTAAATTTACCTTTAATCCTTTCTTACACTGATGGAAAAGAGGTGAATCCGGTCAAAATATGACAGACTAAAGGTTGATCCAAAAGATCTCGTAGCTCGGTTTGCCCATGGTACAAAAGGAAGACAATTTTCGAGTCGCACCAGGTCCGAAATGAAATCCACCTGGTTTTCTTCTCATTCAGCTAACTAACCTTTATTCGACGTAATCGAGCGGATATGGGCAACAGACAAGAGAGAGCAGGTACAGGATAAGAAGTGGGAGAGACTCTCCGAGAGAGCAGGTAGCTCTGTATCTATAGAAAGAAGGACATCGAATAGAGAGCAGAGGGAGAGTCGGGATTTTTGCCGATAATAGCAAGTTAAATTTTATTTTTTAAAACTAGCACCCAGTCGAAAAAATGGACATAAATAGCACCATTTTTAATGTAACGCACCCCTAAGGTGCGTTTTACTTATAAACTGCACCTTAGGGGTGCGTTCCATGCCACATCAGCACGCGAACCGCACTAGGAAGGTGCGGTGTGCTTTTTCTGCGGAAGAATCTTAAAGACCGTTGGATGGAGACGCGATCGGAGGGCGGAACGCACGCCGGCAGAGCGATCCGCTCCATAGATCGAGGACCGCACCTGCAAGGAGCGGTCAGCGCCTCGTGAATCTCAAACCGCATCGGAAGGGAGCGGTTTCTGCGAGGGGGAAATTACCAGACCACCCCTAAAGGGTGTTGTTTGCATAGTATAAATACCCCTCTTCCCACTCTCATTTCTTCACACCACAACCCATTCTTCCTTCTCTCTCTAGAATTTATCTCTCTAAACCCTCCCCTTCCAAAAGCCTAGGAAATTGTGGTATGTTGGTTGCGGCTAAGTCCGATCTGCCATCAGAAAACATTTCTTTGGTTTTTTTATTCAAAACCCGCCGAGCCGAATCTCTATCTGAATTTTGGTTTTTTCCTCAAAATCCACTGAGCCGAGCCGAATCTCTGTCCAAATTTCTCGAAAAAATGAGCGAGTGGTGGCAAGGAGAGACAGTTTATGTTGATGAATTTCTAGCGGTACGTACTCATTATTCTTGTTTAATTTTTGTTGTTGTTCTAAGCTTTTTAATTAATCTATGTACTGACCTCGTTGTTATTTTCTCGTAGGATGGGGACGACGTGGATATATACAACAAACGGTATTATCTCGAGCAAGGATAGTTGGATCCAACCGACTTGTACGACCAACCCAACCATCGGTCAAGGGATGTTTGGAACGATCAGCGCATGGCCAAGATGCGGTTTTGCCCTAGGATAATAAACCGCACCTTAGAGGTGCGGTTTATATATAAAACGCACCCTTTAGTTGCGGTTTACATATAAAACGCACCTTGGAGGTGCGGTCCATAAAAAAAGGGTGTTATTTTTGTAAATATTTTCGGGTGGGTGCTATTTTGTAATTTTTTTTAAAATGTGCTATTTCTGGAAAAATCCCGGACAGTCGGTCAAATAAAAGGAGGGAAGACACACGGGCGTGTTAATTTATGTTATTAAAGTACCATTTTGTAATTTGTATAATTAGCCACCTCCTGTACACTTGAACACTCACATTAGTTCCGATCTATATAAAGTTCCGACCTAATTTGAACACTCACAGTCTCTTCCGTGGATTAGTCCTGATCTTCAGTGATACTGATAAACTGATATTTGCACATATTTTGCCCACTTTTCTAATACCATTTGAGAGTCTATTCTCGTGTTTTAACCCGATTTCACGCTACGTTGTGCTTTTATATCTTATTTCAAGACCTTGAGTGGAATGGGAGGCTTGGGAGTGAGTTTCGGGTCGAAAAGTGGATAGCTAACGCACGGAGGAGCGGGAAGGCAAAATATCCTGTCAGGTCACTCAACTATCCGACCGGGTATATGCGGTTGGAGGCCAATATTTCCCCACAGGCCAACAGGCGGCCCCACCGGTCAGGAACCATATATACCCGACCGGGTATTTTACCTAGAGGTTGAGTATTTCTCTTGTGATGAGAAGGCCGAAGCACACCATTTCAGATAATACGCGGTCGAACTCAGGAATACCCGACCTGGTACGCCCAAGTCGGGGTGTTACAAGCAGAGTGCGGGTTTTGGTCTCTCATCTGAGTTTTAGAGCAGAAAACAATGAGTTAGAGAGGGAAAGTGACGAACTCATCCTCCAAGGTGACCTAGATCGAGTTTTGACACCATTGGAGCTTGATTAAAGCATGGAGACGTACCGATTGACAACCAGAAGCTGAATTCCATCCTCTACAAGATTATTTCTGCATTTGATTCTGATTTCCTCTCTCTCTCTCTCTCTCTGTCTCCATATATATATATATAGTTTAAACTCCCTCTCTCGCTTGGGAAGGAAGAACCCTAGAGCTGTATGTTACGTTTGATTGTATGAAGCCAAGTACATGACATTTTGATATTGATTATATTCAATTGAGACATAATTTCAGAATTGCATGAGTCTTGATCACATTCTTGGTACATTATAATTCGGCTTAACTGTAATCTAGGGGGAACCATATCCGGGTGACCACTCTCGAACTTGAATCAGAACTTTGCTGCTTTGTGTTTTCTTAGATTAGATACAACTTCACTACGTTCAAGCTGCAGAATAACAAGAACTTCCTGGAGTAGTCATCGCATCTAGGACCCGGGTTGACAATTAAAGCTAAACGCGCTATACTATGCATTAGTTGTGGTTACACTTGGCCACTTTCTAGTGTGATGGTATTGGCGAGTCAGATACTACGTTAAATATTGTGTGTTCACTTTGATTTGGTTCTTAGTTTCTAAAATGGTACCAGAGCCTCCGCCCTAAGGGTTTGTGTTCTCGATAGTTAGGTGGCGACAGCTCGTGTGGGCTAGTTTGTTTGTCAGCTCGATTCTTCGTTCCTTTCATGGGTTGTGCAGTTTTTCAATTTTTTTGTGGTTATCTGTCGTCGTAAGGGGTTTGTCGATTGGAGGTGGCACTTGTTGGTTCTTCTAGGTTTTCTCTGTTCTTGGGGCCGATTTTTTTCTTGTGCGCCTAAGGGTTCTTTAACTTGGTTTTCTTGGCGCCAGTTTTGTTCGTGTTCGTCTACGGATTATGGATTTTTTGAAGATGGATGTTGTGACGATTAAGTTTGATGGTAGGAACTTTGAAATTTAGGAGTTCCAATTTCGAAATTTTGCTACTGGGTGGCGCTACTTTATGTTTTGATGGGCGAGACTAAGGTCCCGCAGGCTGGCGCACCGGCCAAGGATGTTGAGGACTGGGTCGCTTCTAATGCTCAACTCGTGATGGGTATCTTGGCCTTTGTTGATATACCTATGGCGCTCTCCCTTCGTCGCTTTGGTAGTGCTCATGAGATGTGGAATTATCTCCACACTACATATTCTCAAAACACTGCCTCTCGTCAGTTTGATTTGGAGGGCGAGATTTCTTGCCTAGCTTAGGGTGATCGCTATGTTCAGAGCTACTATTAGGCGTCGCTTCACCTATGGATGGAGTATGATCTCCTCACAACCTCCCTCATTTATATTGCTGCCTTAGGGGATTTTCTTGTTGAGCCCACGCGTACTCGTGTTCTCTAGTTTCTGGCCAAGCTTCCCTTTGTCTCGTGTTCACACGCGTACTCATGTTCTCCATTTTGTGAGCCCTTCTGGGCATCTTTGATTCATCGTCACATTACTCACATTAATGATGTTGTGGTTGAACTCAGGCGGGAGGAGACTCATCAGAAGAGTTAGTCCCAAATTGATGGTACTCATTCCCTTGGAGAGACTGCCTTAGTTGTAGGTCAGCCTGCTGCGGCATCCCGTCCTCATTTTGCTTCCTCGACTCCTAGTGGGGTAAGTTGCCACTTCTGCTATGAACCTGGCCATGTGGTTATTTATTGTCTGCAAGAATTATTTTTGCAATTATTGTAAACGCTCTGTTACAATGTTTCCCAGTGCCCTACTCTAAGCCGAAGAGGTAAGTTGCGTCGTGCTCCCACTGGCGGTTCATCATCCCAGAATGTTGTTGGCTACCCGCTTACTTTGGGTGGCTGGGAGGGATCCTAATCTTCGACCTCTCATATCACTCCCGATCAGGTTCGCCACATGGTTCAAGACGCTCTTAGTGAGGCACTCTCATTCGCCTTTACGACTGGCCCCCTGCTGGTAAGTCCCTTCGATGGTTAGTTGACTCTGCAGCGTTTAATCACATGTCTTCTCACCATCCTATCATTAAGAACTTGGATCCTGTTTCACCTATGCGTCTTCAAGTGGCTAATGGAGCCACGATACTAGTACATGGTTTAGGTTTAGCTTGCACTACCTCGGTCTCCCTTCCCAACACTCTCTGTCTTCCTTAGTTACTTTCGAACTTAGTTTTTGTGGGTCCACTGACGGATGATGGTTTTACTGTTCTATTTGATTCGGTTGGTTGTGTCGTGCAGGATCAGGTGACGGGGAGGGTGATCGGGAAGGAAAGTAAGGTCAGTTGTACCTTTGTGCTTTATGAGCTCCGCGGGAAGGACATAACGGGTGCATGCATGGCACTGGGAGCAACCTTGGGACATCGAGATCAGGTGGTTCAGGGTTCTCATCAAGTAGATGTGGGACATGGGCAACCGAGAGAAGGAAATAATGAGATAATTAGTGGTTTGCGTACTGTTACTGGCCCGGATATTTTAGATGGGAATTCTTTATCTTTGTGGAATTTGTGGCATAATCGTTTGGGTCATCCTCATTTGGGTGGATTGAAGGGTATGTTTAAGTATAATTTGTTACCTAATAAATAGGATTTATTGAAGTTGAATGGGAAACCTGAATTTGTGAGTTGTGTGGATGCCAAAGCTTCCCAGCATTCCTTTTCTCTAAGTGAGACAGTTTATTATGTACCGTTTGAATTAGTTCATACAGATTTATGGTGACCGTCACCAGTTACTTCGAGAATGGGTTTCCGTTATTTTGCTTTATTTGTTGATCATTATTCTCGCTTCACCTGATTTTATTTCCTGAAGTAAAAGTCGGAGCTCACCTCAATAGCTAAGAAGTTTATTTAGTTGGTGTAGACTCAGTTTGGCAAAACTGTTAAGATACTTCAATTTGACCTTGGCGGCGAGTATAATTCCAATGAACTCGTTGGTGTTTTTAAGGCAGAGGGCATCTACCTTAACAGTCATGTCCTCGACTATCTCATCAAAATGGGGTTTTTGAGCGTAAGAATCATCATGTCCTGGAAGTCACACGAGCTATTCTTTTTTTTTCTCGCGTGTGCCTACTGCTTTGTGGGTTGAAGTTGTGCATACCATTGTCTATCTTATAACCCGCCATATCACTCCATTATTGGGTCAACACTCTCAATATCAGGTTCTCTATTCGAAGCTTATTATTCCTTCTCTTGTGTGTTCCGGTGTAAGTGTTTTGTTCTACTACAAAGGAAGGAACGTCATAAGCTAGCTCCGAAGGTGGCTCGGTGAGTGTTTGTGGGTTATAATAGTGAGAAACACAAGGGACATATGTGCTATGATTCGGTTTCACATCGTATGAGGATTGTTTATCATGTTAAATTCAAGGAACATGATATGTACGATCATTCTTCACATTCCGAGGCCAACACTACCGAAGCACTTGAGTTCTTAACTCATTGGCCGAGTTTTGAATCTTCACCACTATCTTCACTTGCTGAAAATCCAGCCGAGTCGAGCACCAGTGCAGACCATTCTTCCTCACTACTTCTGCTTCTTCATCGTCTTCTACCTCCTCCTCCGGAGTCTCGTCCACCTCTCCACTATGATCTTCGTCATCTGGGTCATCTACTAGCACATCACCTAGCTCCTCCTCACATGGATCTTCTAAGCATGAGTCGACTGCTTACGAGGGAGGGTCTCCTCCTCCCGTTCAATAGGTAGCTCCCTTCCGCCGCTCAAACAGGGCAACTCTGGGGCATCCCTCTCTACGTATGGAGGACTTTATGGGAGTAGCTACTCATCTTCACCTGGAGACTATTCATCAACTTCTGAGGTACTTGAAGCAGACTGCAGATGTCACGATATTCTTCCCGGCACAAGGCGAATCAACTACTGAGGCTTTTGCCGATGCTGACTATGTGGGGTGTGTTGATACTTGAAAATCCACTTCAAGATGATGTATTAGGATTGGACAGTCCTTTGTGTCATGGAGGTGTAAGAAGCAAGACAGAGTATTGAAGTCTTCCACAGAAGCTGAGTGTGGGTCCATGTCAGAAGTTAGCTCGTAGGTAGTTTGGATGAAACGATTACTAGATGAGTTGGGGGTACATCGTCGAGTTACTATGCGTATATATGGGGATAATACTAGTGTGATTCAGATTGCGCTGAATCTTATTCTTCATGACAGGACGAAGCACATCGAGGTTCACTTCCATTGCATTAGACAGTTGATGGCAGAGAGAGTTATACAGGTTGGCTATCTTTCGACGGGGAACCAGACAACTGATCTCTTAACAAAGGTTATTTCGAAAAGTCGTCATTTGTACTTATCTTCCAAATTGATGTTGCGTACCTCACATCAATTTGAGGAAGGGTGTTAATTTATGTTATTAAAATGGATATCATTATGTATCACACATAAAATAAGTTTTATCTGCACCAAAATATTTGACTTTGGAGATGAAACAAAAGATTATGGTCCAATTATGAATCATTAGACTTGGCATCTTGGTGGATTAGGGGCGGGTTCATAGCATCTGTTCCTCCTCCTTTATCCCTAACAGATTTCCCCGTACCCAGTCGTGGACATTAAATGGGGATGTCACAGATCACGTGACTATCAAATGATGGATTCGGGTAACCACTCTACGTTATTCGTAGAAAATAATAAAAAATTAATATTTAGATAAATAGCATGCAAGGATGTAAGGCTGCAAGGCATCAAATTCATTAAAAATGAATAAAAATGGTCAAATCATTCAATAAAAAACAACATTATAGTAGCCTCCAAGGTTGCAATCTATATCCCACCACCCAGAACCTAGAATTCGAATTCAGTTCAACATCTACTATTTTAGAAATATCAAAGAAAAAAGCACACAAAGGCAACAAGCCAATGACCATTGTTCAAACTTGAAACAAAACTATAATTAATGATCCAAACTAGGTGAATAGCATTCCAATATCCAGCAACCGAATTTGAGATTTATAAGACCATATCAGAATCAAACTAGGTGAATAGCATTCCAATATCCAACAACCGAATTTGAGATTTATAAGACCATATCAGAATCACTGCAACTTTGCAAGAAACAAACAAGATGGAAAAATACGAGGAAACATAAACAAGCTAACAATTTGTTGTCGATTATTGATGAAAATATCAAAACAAACAAGTTAGTTTGATAGTCATTTGTACCTCGTCTTCCATTGTTTCAATACTCAGTCATCTAGGCAGAATAGTGAATTCAACATCACACGTTCATGAGCTATGATCCATATATCTTTGTTTAGCTACGCAGTTAATAACAACATTTAATTGAATCTCAATAAAAACTAACTTACTCCCATTCTCTTGATCTTCAGTAGTTGGATCTTGAATCGATAGACCTGTAAATACTCCTTACATTGCCTCCACACTAGCCTCTGATTCTGCAGAAATAAAGTAAATTGTTAACTGAAAAAAAAAGTTGAAATACCAGTACCAAATAATACATGTATATTGCAAGTTAAATCTTTGCAAGTCTTCCATTATACATCTACAGATACACATCATGGCCTAATAATCTCCCACAAGAGCTAAAAGGAGACTCATAATCAACGAAAGTTATTGGTATACTTCAGGCCATTCAATTTCCACCGCATCACTAAATCAAATTTAGCATATCGATCAAGAGGAATAAGTTCCTTAGCAAGATAAGGATTCAACTTTTCTTGTTCTTTTTCCTCTGACTTAGAATGAACTCAAAATCAAGATCATTGCCAGAAATAGATGTTGCAGTACCAGAAGATTCATTTGCAGAACCATAATTATTTCAGTTGTGGTTTGATAATAAAAAATCAAGCAACAAATCATTTGTTTGATACTGTCAGCCACAAAGTCAGTATAAGTGTTGCCAAACTTAGCAGCAAAAATACTCAATGACATGCAGCTTGTACCTAGGATGCAAAACAACCGAAACTGCCAGACCAAATGTATATATTCTCAGTATTTGGTGAATTTCAACCACATGTTTCCAGCCATGCCATAAATTAGAGGATTAGGATCAACACATCACTCAATCAATTTCAATAACATATCACAAATAATGCCATCCAGTACACAACACTCTCCCTAATCCATTCAATGCCATCCTTTCTAACGTCCAAACAATCTCTAATAATTAGGTTAAGTACATGAATATAACACCTCATGTGAATCAGCTTACCATCCAACTACAAATCATTTAGAACAAGTTGATGTTTCAGTTGGGAAATCTTGGAATCATTAGTGGTGTAGTTGTCCAAAGTGATCGAGGACAACTTCTCTTCCACATTCCAATCCAGAAGACACCGAGACAATCTATCAGCCAACATATGACAGGTAGGAGGGGCATGGACATACAAAACCTTAACATCATGTTTCTAAACATCTGGTAGCAACTGCCATATAAACCCTCTTCTGATTTCTTGCAGTCCATAAATAACTATTCCCTACAATTCTTACCAGATTACCATAAAGGACAAAATATCCTTCTTCACTGTATTTCTATAAGGCAAAATGAACTTAGGTTGCAAAGAAGAAACAAAATGTTTGAACCTAAAATGTTCAACAATGCTAAGATGATATTCACGGACCAAAATCAATGAACACAACTCCTTCATAGAGACTTCAAATTTGAACAGAGTAGCGCACATTTGGGTTTTCCTGGTTGCTTTGTAATTAGGAGTAAGAATTGTTTGAGTGCCATCATTTATGTTTTTTTTATACAGGTTTAGACATGGTTCCTGAGGTGTGAGGTTCCATTACAAGTATCACCACCAATAGTTTCCAACAATACCTACACCTCACATTAATAACCCCATTAAGCTTAATCTTAATGTAGTGAGGCCCGATATCATAAGTGAATTTACATTCTTCAAGAATCACTTCAACATTTTCATTTCTGTTACCATTACCATTAGGCAAGTTACCATAAGGAACAAGTTGTTGAGGTTGGTTATTCTGAGAAGTAGGTTCAGGAGAAAGAGTAGCATTAACAATAATTTCAGATGCACCATCCATTTGAATATAAGCAAGAGTGTAAAAGAATCAAATGAGTGTATGAATGTACTGTAAAATTTGTAGGTTTAAGGATTTAAAGTCCTGGTCTTATAGATTTGAATTGTGAGATGGACAAATTAAGATACTAATCTCAATTATAAAAAAAATTAAGAACATTCCAGGGGCTTCATAAGTTATTCCTTCATCTCCTAACTCGAATATTGGAGATAATCAAAGTCCTTTATAATTCACTTACCCAAGCCGTTTGGTAATTTATTTTGACAAATTCTAATTTTAGTAATTTTGTTTGTTTGAGCTTTTCAGTTTCTTATCCGCCATTAGTTCGCCATCTGTAGTCTAGACAACTGTCAATAGAAACCCCCCCCCCCTCTCCAGTCTCCACACTCCAGATTCTTGGTTAGCCTAGGTTTTTTTTGTTGTTGTATGTATTAGGTCTTAGGGACAAGAGTGCATAGCCGAGGTGCGCACATGGCCGAGACTTCTCGGTCGAGTGCACTTTTATAGGTCAAGGTTGGTGACATTAAAATTGAATGAATAAATAAAAACATAAAATAATTTAATTTTTGGATTATCAAGATAATGATGAAGCCCCAGTATCATCAAATTGAAGCTCAGAGCAATATTTTTATTATTATTTTGCATGCTGCTCTTTGCCGAATTTTATGGTGATAGTAGGCTGTGATTTGTCAGTAAGGAGGATAATGATGATGTATCTAGACTATAGGAACAATAATCAATGGAAAGAGCGCTTTAGCGAACACAATTTCCTCATTAGGAAAGTGAATATAAAAAGCCTTTAGGGATTGTTCACATACCATTGCCTCCATACTAATAATAGTTGATAGACCTTCTACCAACTCAATCTCTATCAGAATTAGCACCAAATCTTAGAGATAATCTTAGTGTACAATTTTTTGTTTATCTATACTCTGCAAAAAATGTTAATCAAAGCATCCTTTAGTTTACCAAGATATACCATGGTGATACAGATAATTATATTATGATGATAGGAAAATATAACATGATGGTATGGAATAAACCATAGTATTAAGATGGTGGTAGGCAGTGGTACAATTGGTTCGATACTTTCTTTATTCAACTTAATAAAAAATTATATTATTTTGTAGATCACTATTATTCTATTTATTGTATACAAATTGTCAAAATCCAATTCAAAAAGCGAGATAAAGAAAAATGTTCTTTAATTTCAACCATTAAATCTAGGGTTAATATATTTGTATGACCTAAACTTTGACCAAAATAAACATCATGACCAATCTTTTCGATCTATAACATCTTGGCTCAAACTATACATCAAAATAACTAAATTGGCCAAACTCGCCGTTTGACCGTTAACTTGGATGGTCAACGCACCATGTCACTTCCTAATCAGCAAATAAACACTTAAAATATTTACAATTTCCACATATTCCCTAATTTTAAAATATTATCAGTTAAATTTTAAAAAATATATGAAATTAACAACAACAAAAACATTACAATAACAATCCTCAAGCTCCATTGCAGATTTTTATGATTCGTCATCATCGTCATCCATCGACCGCCATTGTCATCGTCCATTACCTGTTCCTCGTCATCGTTGAATATTGCAAGCTTGAGGGTTGCACCACCCTCCCTGACTTCTCTATTCCTCGACCACTAGAGAAATTGCAAAGGCGCCCAGCTGCAATGGAGCTTCTTCTTGTTTCGCCAGAGTGTCAAGATCAGAGATTCAGATCTGAAGCTGTCATGAAGAAGGCCGACAGAAGGAGACCTGCTTCGCTAGATTTTCACAATGTCGTCCTCGCTTCCTCGTCGCGGTTAGCTCCCGCCGTGAAAAGACCTCGCTCTCATCGTCACGCAAGTCTGGGTCATGGATAGGAGACACAGATTAGGGATAAGAGAGTTCTCCCCGCCTTCGTCGTTGACTACTAGGTTGGATTGGGGATAGGAGACATTTCCCCGCCTCGGGCGTCTACCATTGGATCGAATTGGGAAGAGAACGAGCTTTATTTCAGAATCGGAAGGAAGGGGATTTGGCAGGGGAGATTTCTTTTTTCTTCTTGTTTTCTTCAGCAGCAGCTGCAATGGTAGAGATTTGATGTCACTACCCGCTGGGTTTAATTTAGGACAGTGGTTACCAAAGGATTATGTGAAGAAACAGCGGAGGAAAGGGGAGATGTCGGCGCGGCCACGTTGTCGAAAGCCATCCAGCCGGTGAATGCGCAGGAAAAAGTATCCATCGGGTAGTTTGTGTTGCTTTTCTGAATTTTTAATTATTATTTTTTTTTAACTTAGTTGTAATAATTAAAAAATGGAAATTATGTGGCTTTTCTCAAATTTTTAAGTTTTTTTTATGTTGATAGGGCAGTGACGTGGTGCGTTTGACGTCCAAGTTAATGGTCAAACGACGGGTTTGGCCAATTTAGTTATTTTGATGTATAGTTTGGGCCAGGATGTTATATATCAAAAAGATTGGTCAGGTTGTTTATTTTGGTAAAAGTTCAGGCCATACAAATATATTAATCCTTAAATCTATATATCTATCTCAAAATTCATAATCATATTTCATTTCACACAAATCCATAATAAAAGGCTATGCATTTCATCGTTTAATAAGACACCCGAACAAAGTACTCATAAAGTTTTAAGAAAAATGTGAAAAGGAGACAACTACAGGAACAAAGTATGGAGAGAGAAGACACAAAAAGATAGAGGGAAGAAAGCTTTATTATTCATGTATATTGTTGGTACAATGTGTGCTCTATTTACATGCAAAAATATATACAACATACAACTCCATCATCAATGTTATAATGAAGACTAATGAGCAATTAAGCATAAATTGAAATATGAAGTGATGGGTTACATATAACACCCATTTATGCACTAATGTGGTCATCCATACAATCAATGTTTGCATGACAATAACAAATTATTACAACACTTTTTATATATTGTACATGTACAAGTAGTACCAGACCTATAATTTGGAATATTTTAGAAACTTATCAAACATAAATTAATATTTAAATTCAAATAACTTTCATAATCATAATCACAAGAGACTAACCTAGCAGTAATAAGAAAATAAAAAGATTCACCACACTCTGAGTAAACTTCGAAGCAAACAACAACAACAAAAAAGTTCACTACATAGAAGTCCCGCAATATGCTTTCACCATATTGGTATCGCCCTTATTCTGAGAGTTGTTCTTAACATAGAAGTCAAGAAGACCTTGATTGTAGAATGGCTTGTACATCAATGGATGATCTTCATCCACAAGCTCTTCAGGAGCTATAACGATCGCAGTCAGGAATGAAAATAGTCCCACTGCATATCTTACCTCTTCTCCCTCGACCATTACTCGATGGTAGCATGATTTGATTCTGTCATTGCTCCATGCCTATTTATTCTTCCACACAAACAATAATACAAATCAATTAATTCTCACAGTAATAAGTTAAAAAAATAAATTTAGTTAGGGCTAATAATTGAACTTGTCCCTGTTATTTATTAGCATAGATTACCAAGATTGAAAGAAGACCTTGATTGTGTCTACGATTAACTAATAGTTTGAACTGATTGACTAACCATTTAAATTTATTTTATCCTTGTGATGAAATAGTAAGTGTTAGCACCATGCTACCATGAACCATTAACGGTATTTTGGTAAATGCTCATCATAGTAGCAGCTATCGCCTCAGTCAAAATATCGTTCAAACCCTCCTCCCTAATTCTTTCAAAATTGATTCTTCTTCTCCATCGTGATAATAAGAGTAATTAGTCTCTCATGCCTGGAGAATCACGACCTAATTAAAACCTCGCTCTGCCGGAGACACTGCTCCTAGGCACTAGTGAGCTAGCTTTTCCTTTCTCGAACTCCTCATTCCCTCATCTCTCAAAATCGGATCGAAATTCTGACCTCTAACACAATATAGTAGCAGTTTTTAGATAGGTGTCATGAAATTTTTGGAACTTAAACCTTTTGAATTCCATGCACTTTATCATTAATGTTTTTTGAGTTTGCATGCTCACATTTGTCTAGTTTGTAATATGAATTGTGACGTTTTATGTGTGATTTCACATATTTCTGGTCAATTCCATTTCATTTTTGGTGAAATTTCTTGTCTTCCTAGTCTGGACCAGGATATTTGTGGTCTGCAGTGTTTTTAACACTTGTCGTGTACTTTTTAGTGTATTGAGTTTGCTTTATAAGGTTTTTAGTGTTGTTTCTTGTCTTGTTGGTATGATTAATGAAGGTTGTGGTGTGGTTTAATATATTTCAGGTTTGCTTCATTAGGTTTCTAGTCTACTTCATTAGATTTCTCGTGTGGATCGGGAGATTTTTATTTTGCGTTGTATTTAGTGTTGATCTAATTTCTAGCGATTGTGGGTCGCTTCAAGAGATTTATGGTATGTTTGCTCGCCTTTCTGGTGTATTTCAATAGAGTTAAGGTTGTATTTATTACTGGTGCACTTTCTAAAGTTTGTGGTGTGCTTAATGACATTTATGACCAATACTTAAGCGTTAAAGCCTTGATCAATCAATCTTTTCCTCCTTTTGATTTTTTTCTCAGAAAAATGTAACCCATTCAAGCGTTCTTAAGAAGGCAAGCATCTCATTTGATGCTTAACAAAGTTCATCATTATCTATTGGATCTACAAATTTATGAGAAAAAATACAGGGAAAAACAATGATAAATTTGGTAAATGACAGTTCGTATATTCCTACTACGAACATGTATTCAACCATTCTACACTATGTTAAGTTCATATCACCATGGTACACTTCCATACCACGTGGTATATGATCTAATGTATGCAAAGCATTACCACCATGGTATAGACTGATAAATGTTTAATTTTTTTTTTTTATTCCTATAAAGGTTAGAGACATTGGTGATGTGACGGTTTGTATAGTGGAACCGTTCCCATTAAGGTTGTGCGATCTCCATCATCATAGTCGGTCCGCTCCTCACCGGCTGCCATTCTAATCGCCAACACCAATTTCGATTACGGATGCGATAGTCTTGAGCAGAGACGCAGGAGGATGACAGATGTTTATTTAATTTTCTAAAATAAGAAGTGTGCCCCTCCCTCTAAAATCACCATTAAATTGTGGTCAACCCATTCAATGTATAAAGTTAGCAAATAAGAGGCTTACTATTGGGTTGACTCAGTGTTAATTAGCACCCTAACCCCAACCACTATCATTAGTTGAATTCCCCTTTTGGAAACATTTTTTTTTCTCTCCTGTAGTGTTCATTCATTTAATTAGGTAAAACATTGAAAGTGTGACGTACCATGATGACATCGCCGGCGACGACTGCGAAAGAGGAGGGAGAGGAAGGCTGGTAATAGACCCATTCGCCGTCATTCAACCTGACCTCCAATCCATTGACTTGGTTCTGGTGAAGAATGGAGACGAAGCTCTTGTCCGTGTGGCCCTTGAACCCAAGATTTGTTTCGCCTTTTGACCTTCTGTACCTCAACAGCCGTAGAAGGTACGTGGTGGAATCGAAGTGGGCATTGTACTTGTCCGTTCCTATCCCATAGCTCTCGAACAACATCCTCACCACCAACTTTTGCAGCTGCGCCACCATTACTGCATAACTGTGCACCACTTCACTGTTCCAAATTGACCATCAAAATTGGAATCATTGATTTGTTTAGTCATATAAACACGTAAATCGCTAAATTTCGTGCTCCAATACTTTATATTGGAAAGTTGAGGATATTGTATTACCAGAAATGGGGGTTTCCTTCCGGCCACATAAGTTTCGTAAACTCTTCACACGCTTCTCTGTCAGTTGCATACTCGATCCCCAGTCCTTCATGGATGGGAAGGACAGAGAGCCTGCCCATGTAGCCGTGAGCCGGTTTAGGGTTCACGTTCTTCATTTTGATCTCCTGAGGCAGCTCAAACAGCTCCTCCAGCGCTTCCAACACCGAGCTGCTCAGTTCCTCTGATGATTCATCGTACAACACTTCCATGCAGCCGTACCCTTCCATGGCTCGTCTCACGTCGGAGCAAGCCGCCGCCCAATCGCCGGAACCAGGTTTCAGGGCTTCTCCGAATAGATTCACCACCGGAATTTTTGCATCGACAGTTTTCGAACCCATTCCTTTTTCGTCTCTGTGTTTTTTTTTTTTTCTCAACTACAACCGAAATGATCTTTAGCGACGAGGGACATATTATTTATCAAATACGATTTCGTGACAAGATGTGGTTTGGTTAAGGATATTGGTCGCAATAGCTGACTATCTTATGGTGTCGTTTTGGTTTCTTTAGCTTACCGGTAACTTTTATATTTGCGCGTCAACTACTTATACAAAATGCAATTGGTAGCAAAATGTAATCAACCGATTTGTATATAGTTTGTGCGATCTGTGTACAATAATACCAAAGATATATTAGTCACTGTGACCAAGTCACCCACTCTATGACTCTAATAGGATGCCTTTCGCTATCGTTGACTTGTACGAATAATTGCACAAATGTTTTAGTATTAATAGAAGGTTAAAATGGTCGTCCTTCTGTACTAAATTATTTTCTATTTGTATTAATGGAACCATAAAAAGGACGATAATAACAGGAATTATGTGGTGCCATCATGGTACTAGCTAGCCCAATCAGTGAATCGACCATTCAAGTTTAATAGGTTTGATTTCAAAAAAATTCGTTGAGATTTATTTGTGTAAAAAACGAGTAAAAAAGGTTTACACGATTCATTTTTTTTTCAATTTCAATACCGAGAAAGTAAGAAAGTATGTCGAGTTTTTTCCAACTAAAAAACACTTCGTAACCTGTTTGTAATGCATTGAATTCCCTCACTAATATCCTTTTCTTAGGAGTTCTATCATCCTTTTTTATGATCATATCATTCACATAAATTAACTAAGCCATCATACCTCGGCTGGAGCAAATTGTAACAGTGACTGATCGTTCAAACCTTTGAACGTTGGACAAAACGGTCAACAACAGTTTAATTTGTAATGACATGGTAACGAAAGTGTGAAATTGTAAGAAATTATCAACTTATTTGATATCTGACCATTTTGTTCTATGTACAAACTTTTGTTACCATATTGTTATAAATTACAGGTTTGTGACTGTTCTCTACTAAGTGCAAAGGTTTGTGACCATTTATAAGAGAACTTTTTGTTTTAATACTGGTAGTTCTTCGATACCTTTTCGGAATGGGAGAAGTTTTTAATTATACCTTCTAAAGAGAGAAAGTTAAGAATCGAACATTGGTAAGATAAAAACACTCCAACAAATTTCTGCAAGACTATCAAACAACATAACTGGTCAACAAAAAAAGATATAGACCATCACTAAAGCGCTCCACCAAGTAGATGAGTTGAACCAAGGAGAAGACCGACTTTATATCAAGCCACAAGTGGTAATAAAGTCATAGGAGGCAGCAACTGCTAGTAGAGGTAGATCACTCAGGCCCGACATGTGAAGTATTAGCTTACTAGGGCTGATAGCAGGTCAGTTATGGGTATAGCGAAAGTGGAAAAACAAACATCGAATACTGGTATCGGTTAACCGGATATGAGATTACCAGTTATACCGAACTACGCACTGCCAAGTAAATACATCGTGGCAAAAGAGCGAGAAATCCCCCAAATTGGGTTTTCCGGTCTCTTCCATCATCCACCTCGCAATCTCCTTAAACTCCCTCGCAGTCGCGGACCTCTCCTCGTCCACCAAATCCATTGAAAGGATGGTCACCGACAGAACGTTCAACTGGGGATCAGACCTAGTCATGACAAAGATATGTTGTTTGGGAGGACCGAAGATAGTGTCTCTCCTAGATTTGGATTGTTTCGAATAGCGACCAGCGACAGTTCCTCTCTCTGATGAGTGGCGAACTGATGCTGATAAGGCGTCGCTGCCATCGATCTTTAGGGTTAGGTTGCTGATTGGGAGGAACGAAGACGAGAGAAGATAAGTGAGGCATGCAGGGGAAGGCTCATATGTCTTCTAACTTCCAGCTACGCATGAAGTCTTGTTTCGCCGCAATGGCCCCTTCTTCCATAGAGGCAATGAATCATGCTTCAAGTGCATGCATTTGGGTCATGCTCATTCAACTAAGTGATAGAGATGAGAAGTTGAGATATCCAGGAGGAATCGTGGATCCTGGTGGAATTGGGGAGTCATATCATGATTGGGTGCTGCTTCTGCTCTCCCATGCTCTACAGAGGATGCTCGATTGGGAAGAAGATGAAGCTAGAGAGGTTAGTTGGGTTCTCTCGAAGGCAGGCAGGGAAGTGAAAGGATGGATGAAGGTTGTTTGCTCGCTGCAATGAGCTCATGAGTTTCGGTAATCCAGTATACCGGATAACCGTAAGTTAATTACTGGGTACACTCCGTTATACCAGTTTTTGTTTTTTTTTTATAACGGGAAACACCCTCCACCGTCACCACATTTTATGATGCTGTAGTTAGCGATACGATTTCTGGATGTACCGTTAACCGACAAAACGAATACCACCCTTAAGCTTACCTGGACAAGTAAGGGATGGGACGAACCCAAACAATAAACCATTCATTACACAATGTGTGTGTCTCAAGAAACAAGTTGATAAATTTTAGCGGTTAACAGCCAATCCACCTAAAAGAGATGATGGCGGTAGGTTATTGTATTTGACAAAAGGTAAGAGGCATAATTGTTTTTTTTAGAGAATGTATAAAAAGAAAATGATGGACATTAGGAACTTTAGCAACACACTCCCTTATTTTCCATCTTCTCCATCCAAGTAACATGGGTTGACGACGACAAAATCAAAGTCGGCCAGCGTCGCTTGCCTCTCTCTATCATCCTCCCGCCGGTCTGATAAGGAATTGACCAGAGAAGGTCCTTTCATAGCACGATGCCAACGATTCTTGGTTCGCGGCACAACCTTGTCAACTGCCGTTATTCTTTGTTTGGGCCGGGAAGACAAGGAGATTGAAGTCACTGAGTGCATACTGGTCGAGGGAAGTCGTTTTCTTAGTTGAGTGTGGCGTTTTGCCAATTTTTGGTGGTTAACAACCATTATCGGTTATTAATCAGTTAACTGCTAACGTCGATTATAAACTGTGTATGGCTCGGTAACTCAATAAGGAATTATCATCCTCTGTGAAGAGATTCTAATTCTTCTTAGGGATTATTGATTTAACCATTAACAATTGGTTAACGATGCGGTTAGTGATTAAACCGTTAAGCATTTATGATCACTAATCTTATTGCTTTGTTTTCTGGTGTCTTTTTCAAGACCAATACTACGTTGCCGCTATTAAAAGTATGGTACCGGTACCGCAACATTTAATTGGTCCACGTGTCAATTTATGTGGCTTGATTATTTTTGTTAAAATCCAACCCCAAATCATCAAGACTTGGGCCATGACTCATCAACTGAACTATTCACCCACGAATAAAAAAAACTATATCCATCCCATTTATTATTACTTTACAATTCCCTTCCTCGTCCAACATTTTTTGTTTTTTTATTAATTTCCTTTTAAATTTCTTCTGAGTGATTACTGATAAATTAGTTTGTTTTCTGGTGTCTTTTTCAAGACCAATACTACGTTGCCGCTATTAAAAGTATGGTACCGGTACCGCAACATTTAATTGGTCCACGTGTCAATTTATGTGGCTTGATTATTTTTGTTAAAATCCAACCCCAAATCATCAAGACTTGGGCCATGACTCATCAACTGAACTATTCACCCACGAATAAAAAAAACTATATCCATCCCATTTATTATTACTTTACAATTCCCTTCCTCGTCCAACATTTTTTGTTTTTTTATTAATTTCCTTTTAAATTTCTTCTGAGTGATTACTGATAAATTAGTTTGTTTTTTCTCCAGAAAATTAAAAAAACAAGAACGAAAATACCCAAACAACCTCGTCTTCTTCCTCTCCTTCGAGACTGTAAGGGAAAAAAAATGCAGTCGAGCCCATCATCCCCCTCGCCCTCCCTCAACGTTCCTGACCAGTTCTTCTTCAACTTTCATCTAAATCACAGCAAATCGGTATTGCTCCTGTCTCACAGCCTGCAATTTCCTTTGGGCTTAAATCTTGAATTTCGCAATTGACAGTCGACGAATCTGGAGTCATGATATTGTTGAACGAAGGGAGATAAGAGAAAGGGGGTGAGATTGAGATATCAACAAAAATCTCACCTGGTATCGATGCATGCAACCGCGTTGACATCGTATGGAAGGGGAAGCACCTAAGAAGAATCGCCAGACTCCATTAGAAATCCATTTTGTTTCATTGTTAGTCGCTCTATGTATGAGACCAATGTTGTCGGAGAGCCGATATAGCGAAGAATATTGCCTCAGGATATGGAGGAGACAAAAGAGCTGATTCGTCATGTGGGGGAATGTGAATGTTTGTAATGCTTAGAGAAAACCTTCTCTGTTATGAAATGAGAAGGGTATAGTGCCAACTACAGTTTTGGGAAATTGGCTCAATAGCCTTTCCATTCTGCAGCAGCAACTATATATAGTCTGTACAAAAGCAGCAAAGAAAAGGAAGAAAATCTATCTATCTTCTAATCTACTCTGTAACTGTGCTAACTAGATCACTAACATTTACAAATGAACCAATGAATCAACGACACGTATGTAAGCACTGTACATTAGCCGTTCCATTTGATCTATACAAAAATTCATCGTGGAAGGCTTCTCTCCTCAGCAACGTCATCGTTTGGTGTTGTGCGTTGCGTTGCAGAGGAAAGCAGAGTTGTCATCTCTTCTTCTTCTCACGCCCCTTCAAGTTGGTGTGTACTGATCCAATACACCCAACTTGGACAGCAGAAATCGAAACCTCTCTGCAGACAACCCTTTCGTGAAAAAGTATGCTGGCTGGAAATCAGTAGAAATGTGTTGCAGTGTAATAAGCCAAGCCTTTAGTCTTTCACGAGTGATGTGCAGGTCAACCTCAAGGTGTTTAGTACGCTCGTGAAAGACCGGGTTTACTGCTATGTAAATAGTAGACTGATTGTCGCAAAAAAGTGGAATAGGATGAGGGTGTGGTACCTGGAAGAATTCCATCAAGCATTTCATCCACTGAACTTCACAGCAGAGATGTGCAAGTGCTCTATACTCGGCCTCGGAGGAAGACCTCGAGACAGTAGTTTGTTTCTTGCTTTTCCACGTAATGAGAGAATCACCCAGAAAGGTGCAGTAGCCAGTAACTGACCTTCTGGTATTAGGATAGGTTTCCCAGTCAGAGTCGCTGTAACCTCTAATGGTGAGGTTTGATTTAGCAGAGAACCATAAACCTTGTTCTTGACAACCTTTGAGATATCTAAGAACCCTGTGCAATGCTTGAAGATGGGTGGTGGTAGGATTACCTTGGAATTAGGACAATTGTTGGACAGGGAATTCTATATCAGGTCTTGTAGTGGTGAGGTATTGCAGCTGACCCAGTAAATGCCTGTACAGCTCACCATCCTCAAGAGGCACTCCATCTTCTGCTGATAATACACTCTTCATGCTCAAGGGAATCTTAGCTGGTTTACTATTTAGGAAACTAGCATTTGCTAGCATTTCTAAGCAGAATTTCCTCTAGTTCAGAGAAATTCCTTCCTTGCTTCTTTGTATTTCTAACCCCAGAAAGTACTTAAGTTCACCAAGGTCCTTCACCTTGAATTCTCCACGCAACCATCCATTAACTTTATCAATCAAGTTCAAATTGCTACTAGCCAGAATCATATCATCCACATAAATCACTAAAAACAAGTGATGACCATCCTCAGTATAACTGAAAACAGAATAGTCTGCATAAGATTGCATAAATCCAAGATTCAACAACACATCTGTCAACCTTATAAACCATTGTCAACTGGCCTGCTTTAAACCATAAATGGATTTCTTCAACTTACAAACTTTACCTTTGTACTGTGGCAATTGGTTAAAACCTGGAGGCAGCTGCATATAAATTTCTTCATCAAGGTAGCCATTCAGAAAGGCATTACTCACATCCATTTGATGTAAGTGCCACTGCTTTGCAGCTGCCAAACCCAACAGAAGTTTGACTGAGTTTTGCTTTGCAACAGGAGAGAAAGTGTCCCAGAAATCCACTCCATGTACTTGGGTATATCCCTTTGCCACCACCCTGGCTTTTAGTCTCTCTACATCTCCATCAGACTTGAACTTTGTCTTATAGACCCATTTTGACCCAATGGCAACCTTACCAGGGGGCAGGTCGACAACTTCCCAGGTTCGGTTCTCTTCAAGTGCTGTCCATTCTTCATTCATAGCCTTGTTCAAGCCAGGATCAGTGGAAGCTTGTGCATAAGATTGAGGTTCTGGTATCGTAGTGATGCTTAAAGCATAGGATTTTTGAATAGAATTAAGGTTCTGGTATGTAAGGTATTATGAAATAGGGTAGGGCATATCACTGTTACTATCTACATTCTTATTCGAAGTGGTGATCAGATTAAGATGGAAGTCCTGCAACCAGCTTGGCTGTTTTAAATTCCTAGGTTCCTTCCCTAAGGCAATAGGTAAGGTTCCTGGACTTGGTGGAGAAAGATGATTTACTGAATCATCTGTAGAAGTTGTATAAGGTGAGGTCGGATCTGAAGTAAACACTGAGTGTGGTGTAGGAGGTGTGTAATATTGATCATTTGTTTCATCAACATTATGGTCAGGAGGAAACAAAGGTTCTGATGTGTTTTCAAAGGTAGGAAGAAAGCTAGTATTTGTTGGTTGTGTTGTGTTTGAAGGGACATCAGGTTGTTTACAAGGAAACACCATTTCATGGAATATAACATCTCTGTTAATAAGAACTTTGTTTTCCTCTGTGTCATAGAGTCTGTATCCCTTGATGCCAAAAGGATACCCCAGAAACACACACTTCCTAGCTCTAGGAGCAAACTTGGTCTTATCGCCATCTGTATTGGTTGCATCTTGGCCAAAGACCCTTAGGTCACTATAATCAAGTGGTATCTCAAACAGGACTTCAAATGGAGTTTTGTTCTTCAAAATTGGACTAGGAACCCTATTGATCAAATATGCAGCATGTAGAACAAAGAAACTCTGAAAACGAACAGGTATTCGACTTTGAAACTTTAAGGATCTTGCAACATTCAACAAATGTTGATGCTTCCTTTCTACTCTCCCATTTTGTTGAGTTGTCCTTACACAGCTCATTTCATGGATTATCCCATGTTCATTGTAAAACTCATTCATACAGAATTCCTGTCCTTGATCTGTCCTTATTACTTTCACCTTCTTGTTGAACTGTGTTTTTGCCATTGCACAGAAAGATTGCACTAACTTCCCAGCTTCAGACTTGTTATCCATCATAAACAACCACACACATCTACTACAATCAGCTAGAACATTAAGAAAGTACTTGAAACCATAAATAGAAATCACATCCACTGGTCCCCAAATGTCAATATGAACAAGGTCAGATACCGAACTACTAGAACTGGAGCTTCTATGAAAAGGTAACCTCTTATGTTTTGACAAATGAAAAACTTCACAATGTTTTGATAAAGGTAAAACTATGTTGCTGACATCTTTCTGTAACTCTCTTAACCTAAACAAAGATGGGTGCCCTAATCTCATATGCCATAAGTCTATATCTTGATTTGTATGTTCTGAAGTTGTGGAAAAAGCTTTTGAAATGGAAGTCTGATTCCTAGACCCATCAAACAGGTAGATGCCTCTACCTGGTTGGACTGAACCAATCCTCTATTGCGATACAAGGTCCTGAATAAAACAGAAATGGGATTTGAAAAGAAGTGAGCCTGGAGAATGCTTAGTTAACTGATTTATGAAAATGAGATTATATGAGAAGGAAGGGACTAGCAGGACGTTAGTGAGCAAAATCCCACATTCTAACTTAACAATCCCTATAAGAGTGGCAGAGGTTTGTTCTCTATTAGGTAAGGTAACACTTATGCCCTAAATGGTTTTACATCGAAGGAAAGAACTGATGTCACAGACTATATGGTCACTAGCTCCAGTATCTAGCACCCATAAGCCCTTGTCATAAACATTAGAGGAAGAAGAGAGAGTGATGCTACCTGACATTGGTGCTTTGCCATTGTTTCTCACAGTAACTGAATTAACTTGGCTTGTCTGAGACTGCATGTTTGGAGAGTTGGGACCATATCCAGATCCAAAGGGTTGATTGAAAAGATGCCTTAACTTCCCAAGTTCTTCAACAACATTGGAGAAGTTGGCAAAAATAGCCTGTGCATCTGGGGTATTGGGACTTCGTTGTTCTGCTCCAGGACTAGGAGGATTGCCTCCTTGAAAAGCTTCAGACATTGTGTCAACAGAACCAGCAAACCCTCTTCCCCCTGGCCTGCTAGTTCCAGAAGTTCCTCCCCCTTTGTTCTTCTTCTTTAATTTCCAGCAATCTTCGATAACATGATTGTCTTTCTTGCAGTATCTGCAAAAAAAAATCATCTCTTCTCTCTGAGAGTTGTTTTAGTTCTGGTTGTTCCATGAATTTTGTGGATATTGAGTCTTGTTTTGATTACCAGTTGCGGCCAAAGCTATGGCCTCTGCATTCTTACCACTAGTCAAGCTAGTCCCATTCATCTGCCTCTCTAGCTGAATAACAGTTCTATATACAGTATCAAGATCTGGCAGAGGCTCAATCATGAGCATCTGGGTTCTGGCTTGCTGGAAATTCTGATTCAACCGTAACTGGAAACGAATGACCATAGCATTCTGTTCATATCTCTTAACAGTAGCATAAGTGCCAGCCTCGCATTCACAGTAAGGAATAGGAAGGTATGAGTGCAGTTCATCCCATGTAACTTTCAGATCAGTATAGTATTGTCTAACTGACTGGGTTCCCTGGTTAGCAAAATCAACCTTCCCCTGCATATCAGCAATCCGAATAGAATCTCCCTGGTTGAACTTAGATTTTAGGTAAACCCAAACATCAGGTGCAGATCTGATGCTCCTCAGAGTAGGAACAATGTCATCCAAAACTGAGTTCCGAATCCAACACATAACAGTTCCATTGCAACGTTCCCAAGTGTGAAAAAGGGGATCTGTGTTGTTAGGTACCTTAATGGAGCCATCAACGAAACCAAACTTGTTCTTGGTTCGCAAAGCCAACTCCATAGACTCACTCCACAATAAGTAGTTATCATCATTGAGCTTGAATCCGATGATGGAAAGGAAGGAGTTGTCACTTTGAGCTAGGTAATAGGGATTGCTATATGGGTCCTCAAAGCGGATCTGACTAGCGCTGCTTCCGTCGCCATCTTTCTCAGTTTGAGCCTCCATGGATGTTCAGAAGAAGAAGAAGAAGAAGAAGAAGAAGAAGAAAGGGAGACGAGAGGAAGGTTATCAAAGCCAACCAGGCTCTAATACCATGTGAATGTTTGTAATGCTTGGAGAAAACCTTTTCTGTAATGAGAAAGATGGGGTTTTGGGAAATTGGCTCAATAGCCTTTCCATTCAGCAGCAGCAACTATATATAGTCTGTACAAAATCAGCAAAGGAAAGGAAGAAAAGCTATCTATCTGCTAATCTACTCTGTAACTCTGCTAATCAGATCACTAACATTTATAAATGAACCAATGAATCAGCGACACGTATGTAAGCACTGTACATTAGACGTTCCATTTGATCTATACCAAAACGCATCGTGAAGGATTCTCTCCTCAGCAACGTCATCGTTTGGTGTTGTGCGCTGCGTTGCAGAGGAAAGCAGAGCTGTCATCTCTTCTTCTTCACAGGGAATGACTGGGAAGAAGAAATTGGGGGTCTTGGCTTGATGGCGGCGGCAACGGTCGAACATTAGGTTTTCCTTTACTTCTTAGATTCTTTGACAATTTGATGAACAAAGTAGCAATGTCGACCACGGATGAGAGGATTGATTCAACTACGCCCGATCCCACTAAAACAGGAAAAATAAACAAATATAACTAATTGGTGTGATTCAAGCCTAGCGAGTTAAACGAATGTATTTGTTGATTGCAGAATCAATATTAAAATCAATGAGGTTGATTGAAGGCAAAATCAGGGAAAGAAGCAGAAAAATGGGTAGTGAGAGGTAATATTGTAGGAGGAAGTTATTAATGGAATTTAAAGGATGTAAATTGAAGAAGTTTTATAGGAGATAGATCGACGACAAAGAAATTTGCCTAACGTTTTGCTCATGTTATAGTCTGGGGAAGTGTGAAGAAGACTATTAGATTGTATCTGGGTTTAGTTAATTTTTGGGTGAAAAAATAAAATAACTAATCAATTAAAGGAAGTAAAAAAAATATTGTAAAAGTAGAAAAAGCGTATATCAAGAACAAGAGACAGAAAAAGAAATGTTTAAGAGAATTTGGGTTGATGGGCCACGAATTTGAGTTCGGAATCAACCACTAATGCCAAGTTACGCTAACAATGCAACGTGGACCAATAAAATGTTTAAGAGAATGATACCGCACTTTTACTAGAGGCACCATAGTATTGGGCCAAAAATAAACTTGGTGTGTGAGTCTTTCTTTAAAGCCTACGTTGTGTTTGTACACGTGGGCTTTTGAATTGTTTCTTTTTCTTTGTGATTGTGGGCTTAGGTTACTTTCCAGCCAATTTAGGAGTAAGTGGAAGATTCGAAGTAGAAGACACATTGAAGCTCTAAAGAACATTCATCATTTTCCTTTCGTCTTCTTTAACTTATTTTCTTGCATTTCATTTTTCCTGAGTAGTTTAATTTTGTCATTTTCAACAAGCTCATTGTCTTCCTCTATCGATTCCATCTCTCATTTTTCTTCCATTCCACTTCCTTTTCTCTGTTGAACCCTAATAATTCCATTTACAGATACGTTTTTCAGCATGTACTTTGTTGATGAGTGCACGCTGGCATAGCAGGTTGCAACAAGGAAGGAGCTAGGTGGAGCCTGGGTCCCGGCCCCCCGAGAATTTTGAAACTACGAACAAATCTCTTCGGATTGTGAAAAATTACGTATAAAATAGATGTTAGAATATTAATTGTTTGCGCAATAATATGACAAGAAGCTAATAGGTGAACAAGTGGTAGAAGAGTTAATCTTTCAAATTTGGTACATCAATTCGAATCTTGCCTATAGCGAATTAGTGCTCATTTTTGCCATTTTCAAGTTGTGAGCATTCTCACCTAAACTACAGCAAATTAAGTGTTATTTTGCTCTTTCCATATTGAAATAAGCCAATAAATTGTTTGAAAATGATAAAAATGAGTTACATATTGAAATGCATGATTAATTTTTTTCGTAAAATTAGTGCTCATTTTTGCCATTTTCAAGTTGTGAGAATTCTCACCTAAACTAAAGCAAATTAAGTGTTATTTTGCTCTTTCCATATTGAAATAAGCCAATAAATTTTTTGAAAATGATAAAAATGAGACACATATTGAAATGCATGATTAATTTTTTCGCAATTTAATAATTTGTTTTGACCATATCACATAGTAAATAATTATATCAATTCTTTTTTCGTTATAATAATAAAAGTTCTATAAACTTTTTTTGTCATGGTAAACTAAACAACTTCGCCCTCCCTCCCGACGCGGAGATTCAAATCCTAGCTCTGCCCCTGAGTTGCGAGTTGCAAGATTGGACACATAAATGTTGGAAAAAGTTTCGACATCACAAAGAGACATTGGCACAATACCATAAAATGAAAAAGGGAAGTGGACGAACTACACAAGAGAAATCGTCATTAATGAAATTATATTACAAACATGACAAACTATTAATCAATAGGAGAAATACCATAATAAGCCTTGAGAGGGGTATAAGCATTGAGTTCATCCCCAAAATACGCCTTCCCGGCATCTCTCTCCAACAGCTTCAAGAAGTCCAAATGATCAAACGGCTTATACAGCAAAGGATGCTCCTCGTCCACCAGCTCCGCCGGCGCCTCCACCGTGTAACCCACTTTAAACGCTGTGAACACTGCCGCCGAGTATCTCACCTCCCTTCCCGTCACCTTCACTCTATGGTACGGACAGTGCAGTCGCCCGTTGGTCCACGCCTGCGCCATCACAGACATTATAAAAAAAAAAAACCCCAAATAAGCTATGTTATTAGGAAGCAAAAAAAAAAAAGTGTGTTAATTAGTCCTTTTTATAGCCACCACAACCACATACGTGAAGAGATTCTCCGACGAAGACCACAAAGTCATCTGAAGTGGCTTCCGAGCTGATCCAGTGCCGGCCATCTTTGGTGAAGATCTCCAGCTCGCCAGCCCAGTTGGAGTAGAGAACCGTCATCAGGTCCTGATCCATGTGAGAGTTCAGCCCCAACTTGTGCTCTCCACCAACGGCTTCTTCTTCGCTGATCCCATCGTACTTCATGAATCTCAACGTGTCGAACGACGATTCGAGATGCTCTTCCTTGTACTTCTGGATACCAAGGCTCTCCAGTAACATTACCCTGATCGTTTCCTCCACCGCCGACACTTCCTTGCCGAATGACCGAATTGTTTCGCTGCAAGTAAAGGACGACAATAAACAAAATACATTTTTAGTAACGAGTGTTTTTTCCTTTAGCGACCATTGATTTGGTCGCCAAAACTTCATTTATGTTGCATGCACGAACCTCAAAGATGGGTTTTCTGGTAGGAGGGCGTGGGTCAGGATTTGGAGCTTATCGATGCTGGAAGGATCGTCGATCCCGAAGCTCTGGTACAAAGGGGCGAAAGTGGATTGGCCGATGAACCCGCCGAACGGCAATTCCGAAACGTTTCGCTGCTTGGTTTCGAGAGGGAGGTCGAAGAGTTGCTTGAGTTGGGCGGTGAGTGCCTTTGCAGCTTGGAGGGGTGTGTCTGGGAAGCGAGCTCTGAAGCAGCCGAAATCTTTCGCCGCTGCGAACACTTGGGATTTCAGTGCTTCCCACTCGGGAGTGCCCGGCTTCATCGGCTGATCATCCGTTTTAGTGAAATCAATGAAGGGAAGGGTTGGAGTAGTTGCTTTGAAGCTCATTTTTTTTTTTATCTACTTTTCTTTCCTTCTTGTTTCTTTCTTACTTTTCTGGTTAGGGTTCAATGTCCGAGCACGAGTTCAAGCTTCTGCTTTGTAGTACTAGGCCTATCTTACTGTTTTGTTAAATACTTGTATATAATCACCTCTTTTCACATATAATTTTATTAAGCACCACTAGTATAATTTTAGACAAACTAAAACCAAATGAGCTACAACGACCTTTTCATTTTTAAGGTGTCGTACCAATTTATTACTAAGCAAAATGGACTTTAGCGATTCAACGACTACATCTGGATGGTGGCTATTAATAAAATGTTGTCATTGTCGTAATTTATATTAAAATATGCACGAGTCGTACTACGATGTTATTTAAGATTTGAGTGACATAGAAAATTGCACGGTATTGATAGAGGTGGTAATACTAGAAAACTCTTGTACATGACACAATTGTACGTAGAGGACATCAGCAATGTTACTTTAGGCCATTAGAAAAAAATATATATAATATTTCTTGTCCATATATAAGAAAAATAAGTGTGAATAAACCTACGCTTAAGAGCGGTTATGCGCTACAAAATGTTAAGACATCTCACCTATGGATTCACGACGAGTTACATATCCATAACGATGTAACAGAAGAACGCGTAATTAAACAAACTAGGTTGTCAATATCAAAAGAGAAAAGATCAGCTTCTCTGCGTACTCAATCTTCCCTCTCAATGTTAGCAATAGTACCACTATTATTTTTATTTTCAACTTCAAGTCACACTCAACGAACACCTATACAAACAAGACGCTGGATAAGTGTCCACTATATGTCTTACGCTTAGCTGAACTTTGTCCATCAAATATATATATGTATATTACAAACCATGCTGTTCGGTTCGTACGTCCTTCACAAAATTAATAATACGTATCATATCTTTTTTCATTTTGGGTAGCTGACAAATTTTACGTACCTTCTAATACATCAGCCAATTCATAACTCTTAATTTAAAAACTAAAAAAATAATCCTCGAGAAATTAAAATTGATGTACGATATTTTTATTTGCTAGCAGTTGCATGGTGACGTATGTCAAATGTCCTCAACAAAAATTTTAATACATTTTACACAATCACCATAATCATAGGTGGGTCTAAACTCAAAGCTCAAGTGATAACACTATTTAATTAAGTTCGCAAGATTTGCACTAAATTGTAATTCTGCATAGCACTCGCCTCTACATAAGATAAATACACTCAGACCTTAATTAATTACCGAACAAATTAGGCAACAACAAAAATGGGTTCTGAAACGCCAAGCCTCCCCGTCATAGACTTCACCAATCTAGGCCAACCCGGCAGCCCTGAATGGGAACTCGTCCGATCCCAAGTCTGGAAAGCTTCAGAAGAGTACGGCTCCTTCAAAATCACCGACACCAAAATCCCTCTGGAAATCCCACACGGAGTCATGAAAGGAATGAAGGAGCTCTTCGACCTGCCTCTCCAAACACTGACCGCCAACGTCTCCTCCGAACCCTTTGGAGGGTACATCGGGAAATCAACCTTCGCGCCGCTGTTCGAGAGCGTCGGGATCGTTCACCCCGACAACATTGAAAAAGTCGAAGCCTTCTCTGCTGTCTTCTGGCCGGGAGGAAATCCCAGCTTCACCAAATCGATCAACGCGTTCGCCGAGCGAGCGGCCGAGCTGGAGGGGACGATATGGATGATGGTTATGGAGAGCTTGGGGCTGGAGAGCCACGTGGACGGGCACGTGGACTCGGTGGTCTTGTCGGTGAGGGGAATAAGGTATGACGCGCCCGGGAGTGAGGTGGCGAAGGTCGTAGGGCTGGATTCGCACATGGACCAGGGCGTGACGGCGATACTGTACGGGAATCATGTCGACGGTTTGGAGGTTGAAGACAAGGACGGTCGGTGGTTTGCTGCGAGATACTCGGAGGGTTCGTTCATTGTCATCCTCGGTGAATCTTTTCACGTAAGTGGTGATGATCAATATTCAATACGTACTTCAATGCCACAGTAAATGATAAATTGTAGAGGATTAAGTTGTTTAAGCAGAAGTTAAAGGTTTTAAAATGAACTTCACAGTATAATTAAGTTGTTATTTAAACAGATTTTTTAAGTCTCATAGCAGAAGGGTCATAAAATTACTTTACCAGAAAAAGAAACCTAGTTACCAAGCATACTTCACTAGAAAAATAATTTTACATTGGTTTGGTCATGTTGTAAAGTTGTAACTCTTACAAAAGTTGGTTCTGATCGAGATTTTTTTTTAAAAATTCTTCTAAAAATAATTATATGTTTATGTCATAAATTATAAAAATAATTTTCAATATAAAAATGATGTAAATAAGCTTATTTTTTTATAAATTATGATAAGAAATATAGTTATTAATACCTCTACTCAAATAAAATATATTTTCTGAATAAATTTTTTAAAATGGTATGCATAATTTTCTACTTTCAAAATTTCTTTTTAAAAAGTTTTAAATCATACCTTTGCTTTTATGTTACAAAGAACAAATTTTATATATATATTTTTTAAATCTACCTTATAGATGCATTTGGTCTGACTTAAATATAAAAATACTCTTACAAAAGCTAGGGCCATGCACAGTCCTCTTTCCGGGAGACAAAGACTCGGTTGACCAACGTAATGGTTATATTACTTTTTTCAGTACCCATCCCTTTATTTTTGTTCCCAAAAGTTTACTTCTATATGGTAACACTTATATGTATAGGTAGTAAATTGATGGATTAGTGGGTTGGACCGATTGTTTGATCGATTGGATTAAATGAATTTTTGGATCTAATTTATTGAAATCGTGAATCCAAGTAAAATCTAAATCTTGGATCATTATAAATTTCTTAAGAGGTTTGCTATTATAATGTCATTATAAAAAAAATTCAGAACGAAAATATAATTTTCAACAAATGGTCAATTTTATGTATCAAATTACTAGAAATTAGTAATATGGGTACTAAATTGTAATTTTCTAACAACCCATGAATTCATCAATAAAATTGAATTCGATGGATTGAATTGGTTGGATTTTTTGTGAATAAATAGGATTTAATTGATGGATTCAGAGTAATATCTTAGTTATATTTTCCTCATAGAGATACCATGAATTTTATAAAATTGCAGGCATGGACAAATGGAAGGGTATACTCTCCTTACCATCGTGTAAGATTGAGTGGAAGGGAGACGAGATACACATTTGGGATGTTTTCTGGTTTCAAAGAAGGCTATACCGTGAAGGCCCCCGAGGAGCTCGTTGACGAAGAACACCGCCTGCTCTATAAGCCTTTCGATTTCAAGGAATTCCTAGCTGTACGACTGGAAGAGACCAAGAAGATGTACAACTCTTCTTCCACAGCTAACTATTCTCCTATCAAAGCCTATTTCGGTGCTTAAATGCACGTATGTTGTACTGTGGGAAGTGCTTATAAGTTATAAATTATGTACCCTCTTCAATCCCAAAATATAGTACTATTAAATAAAAAATTTCAATCTCTTTGGATCAAGTTTATGATGCTGTATGTGTATATCGTGTGGTGGCACTTTCAAATCTTCTTATTATCAAGTCCTGGATTTTGAATGTAGAAAACTGTTAATTTCGGCTTTGTCTTTATGCTTTCAACATGTTACTAGCTGTTCTGCATGTTATTTCTTTCCTTTATATAACGCTTCGTTACGAGTCTCCGTACTATTTAGAGCACGAATTAACCAAAGTTTGGGACATGATACTATACCCTGACCTCTAAGGGATCATATAACCTTAACCCTTAGCTACTAAGCATACACGGCTAGCCCTAACTCCTACGTACAGGATCGTGGGTCAAAGCCCAAGAGTACAGAAACCTTTATAACTCAACAGAACCCCGGTCCCTAATTCTCTAACTCAAGCCATAGATTAACCTTTATAACTCTAGGGTACTGCATATCTTGAGTATGAAAACGCTATCTAGAACTTGAATTAGCAGGATACTTGGACTTGATTTTATACCCAAATCCTTAATGAGTGAACCTTAAGTTCTAATTATCTAAATCATAAGCTATATCATAATAAATTATAAGTTTTTGTTCGTATTAATACGATAACTTACCTACACCAGCGGATCCAGTCCCGGAGCTTGCTCTGGCTATAGTTCCTGTTGACGGCTCGACGTCGATGATCTCGCCGGACAATCCTTCGTCGGAACCTCCCTCCGGTTACGGACCGTGGATACAAGTCACCCGAAGATCTCGGAAACCGACCAAAAACAAAGGGGGTAATTCTTCCAACTTACCTTTCCCTAATGGCATGGAATCAGGCAAGATTGCTCCAAAATCAGGAGGAAAAGGGAAAGTGGAGACAAGTAAAGGAGCATTCTTAGCAGGCATTAAAGGAAAGAAAGAAGCTAAGGAGGAAATAAAAAAAGGAATTCAGAGTAAACAGAAAGGGAAAGCTTAGCTACGGAAAATAGAGGCGGCTAACGGGAAAAAGAAATCCAACGGTAACCAAGAATGGCGGGCTAAGGATGCCTCCAATAAGCAACCAATTCAAATTCAGACTACAAGAGGCCAAGGCTCTCCCTTGGGCCAAGCCTCGACTTCGAGCCCACCTGCTTTACAAGAAGTGATCTTAGGCCCAAATAACACGAAGATCCACATCCTTGCAGTTCCTCTTCTGGTGCCCAATCAGAAGGAAAATATTGAACCAAATTCAAACAGGATTAAATCCCGCCAACGGTCTCAGAAACAGAAGGAGAAAAATCTTCCGAACCAGGGTCAAAGCAAAGGAGTGATTCTCAAAGCTATAAAAAAAACCCCTCCAAATTATCTTCATCCAAAAATAAAGAGTCGCCCAAGAAGCTCGTGAATGGCGGTTTCCGATTACTCTTAAAACTATTGAGGAGTTTTATGCTCACACTCAATCAAAGGCTCAAGAATTCTAAAATATTATCTCTGGGAAGCCTGCGGATGTGAACATGGCGGAAACGTTCTCTGCGATCCCTATTGATATTCAAGCGGATAATGCCAGCAGTTAGGGAGAACGGGCCATTGATCCCGCAATCGTCGCTTGATCGCTTGAGATCCCCATCTGTCTTTTCTATTTTCTATCTTTACCTTTTAATTTTCTCATGTCTGTACAACCTAATTTAAAAATCCTAGATTGGAACGTGTGTGGCGTAGGGAGTAAAGAGTTCCGTCGGGCTATTAAGCTCCTTGTTCAGTCGTACTCTCCGAACTTCCTCCTGCTGTTTGAGCCCCAGATTAGTGGAGACCCGGCAAACAGAGTCTGCAGCAGCAGCTTGGGGTTTGGCGAAGTTGTGAAAGTTGATGCTGAGGGAAGAAAATGTGGAATCTGGTTAGCTTGGAAACCGAAAGACTTTGATGTCCAGTTAATAGATGCCAGCAGACAACACATTACTATGAAGGTCTCAAGCGGCGGACAAAAAGAGTGTTTGCTTACTGGTGTCTATGGTAGTCCACAATATGTGTTCCATCAGCAGCTCTGGGATCATCTTATTCACACTAGCAGTAACATCGATATTACGTGGCTTGTTACCGGCGATTTCAATGCTTACCAATTCCCATCGGAGAAATCAGGGGCAATCTCTTCTGCCTCCCTTAGATGTTGCCAAAAATTTGCTAGTGGATTGATTTGGCTAACTTAATTGATTTGGGTTTTTCAGGACCTTGCTTCACCTGGTTTCGAGGGGGGACAGGAGCTCATTTCAAAGCATGCAGAATCGACAGATCCCTTTGCAACTCGGAATGGAACGCCGCTTTTCCTAATACGATTGTCCAACACCTGCCCAAACTACACTCTGGTCATTTTCCAATCCTCACTAGTAGTGTTGGGCACGTGCACAATAGTGCAAACAGAAGACCCTTCAGATTCGAAGCAGCCTGGTTGCTTCATGAACAGTTTCACACCTTTTTTGCAGGTTCTTGGGACAAGGATACCAATCTTCATCAAGCGCTCAGTAACATCTCCCCAAAGCTTCAGCAATGGAATAAAGAGACTTTTGGTATCATTCAACACAAAAAGAAGAGGCTACTAGCTAGGATTTAGGGAATTCAAGTCAGGATAGCCAATAATTTCCACCCTGGCCTAATTAAGCTTCAAGCTAAGATATAAGGGGAACTTGATGATCTTCTGGATCAGGAGGAGGTGATTTGGTTTCAGAGAGCCAAAGAAGAGTGGGCAAATCTTGGTGAACAAAATTCTGACTACTTTTACCAACAAGCTACCAGAAAGAGAAGAAGAAATAAGATCCTAGCCCTGAAGGATAATCTGGAGTTTGGGTGAATGATCCAACTGAGCTAGAAAAGCTGGTTGTTTCCTTCTACTCCAACCTTTATACTCAAGACTCCAGAATTAGCCAGGAAGACCTTCTTACTCTCATTCGTCCTTAAAATATTGCAGATATCCATAAGGCGATTTTTAGAATGAAACCTTTCTCTGCTCCTAGGCCTGATGGGTTTCAAGCAGTCTTTTATCAAAATCTTTAGCACCTGGTAGGACAGAATACTGCTAATTTGTCTTCTTCCTTTTTTGAATCAGGTCACCTTTCGCAGGGCATGCTCGACTCTACTATCATCCTCATCCCAAAGACCAACCATCCAGAATCCCGTGCTCAACTGCGCCTCATTTGTCTCAATAATGTCAGTCTTAAAGCTATAACCAAGGCCATGGAAAACAGAATTAAGCCTCTTATGAGCACACTGGTGGCTCCAACTCAGAGCGGTTTCATCCCCAAAAGGCAGACCAATGATAACATCATCATCCTTCAAGAGGTTCTTCATTCTCTTCGGAAAAGGAAAGGAAAGAAAGGGGGAATTGTGATCAAAATCGATCTTGAGAAAGCGTGTGACAGGCTGAGGTGAGATTTCATCAGGGACACCTTGATTGAAATTGGCCTTCCCAGTACCTGGATTAATAGAATCATGATGTGTGTGGAAGGGAACAGGATGAAAATCAATTGGAATGGCACGTTGACTGATTGGATTCTTCCTTCTAGGGGTGTGAGGCAGGGAGACCCCCTGTCTCCTTACGTGTTTGTGCTTTGTATGGAAAGGCTCTCCCATAGGATCAATGTTGTTGTGGAGAATAACCAATGGAAGCCCCTTTCCCTTACATCCCAGGGTTTTAAGCTTTCTCGCCTATTTTTTTTGTAGAAGATTTGATTTTGTTTGCAGAATCAGGAACTAATCAGATGGAGGTCATCAAGAGGTGCTTAGAGGATTTTTGTGAAAGTTCTTGGCAGAAGGGAAATCTGGACAAGTCCATGATGTTTGTTTCACCAAACATTAGTCGGCAAAAGGCTCAACAGCTCAGCAATCAAGCTAATATCCCTCTTACTAATGACCTGGGAAGATATCTGGGTCTGACTGCCATTCATGGAAGAGTTTCTAAAGCTAGATACAAGGAGTGAGTTCTGCGTATTCAGAAAAAACTTGCTTCCTGGAAGACTAACTACTAGTCTCTTGCTTCTCATCTAACCCTGGTGAGATCTATTGCATCTTCTATGGCCGTCTATCCTATGCTTTCAGAATCTCTTCCAACCTCGGTTTGCAATTCTTTGGACAGGGTCAATAGACAATTTATCTAGGGAGAAGGGGAGGGAAAGAGCAAATTCCACCCCATCGTGTGGGAGAAGATCACGCTTCCAAAGGATTAGGGAGGAGCTGGAATCTGTACCACCAGACTTGCCAATCAGGCTATGCTAGCTAAGGGCAGCTGGAAATTGGTACCAGGGATGATTGTTTGTGGACTAATCTGCTCCTGAACAAGTATGGAGGAAGTAGAGAGGGTCTCGACATCCTTCAAAAGAAACAGGGAAGCTCTCTCTCCTGACAAAGATTTGTTTCTTCTGCTAATGTGCTGAGGCAGGGTTTCTCTCTAAATATAAAGAATGGTAGGCAGGCTAATTTTTGGTGTGATTCTTGGGTTCCGCAAGTACCTCTAAAGAACCTGACTATTACTGACGTACCAGAGGAGCAATTAAGGAAGACGGTTGATGACCGGTGGGAGCCGGATCAAGGGTGGAAGATTGATGAATTTTAACACCTGCTTTCAGAGCATATCGTCAACAAGACTAGAGCGACAATAATTGACCCATTGGATGCTGAAGGTGATCAAGCGTTCTGGAGCCTTACCGCCAACAGACACTTCTCTGCCAACTCTGCTTACAAAGCAATCCAACAACTCCCTGAACAGCAACCTAGCCCAATCCGGAAACGAATTTGGAAGCTGCAAGTCCCTGAGAGAGTCAGGGTCTTCATGTGGATGGATGCCCAGCAAAAGTTTACCACGAACAGCATCAGGAAGGTTTGACACTTAATGCAGGATGACTCTTGTCCTGAATGTAGCAATGTCGTCGAAACGAACCTCTATTGTCGAGAGATTGCATGAAGGGCTAAATTAGTCTGGAATAGAATTTTGGAGCAACAACGAAAGGAAAGTTTCTTCAATACCAGCTGTGATGAATGGCTCAAAGAAAATATCATGGATGATTCTACTGGTAATTGGCCAGGTCAGTGAAATAGCTTCTTCAGCCTAATTCTTTGGTACATTTGGAAGTGCAAGAATGAAGGTATTTTCAAGGGGATTAAGATTACTACCGCCACGTTATATCAATATGTTCTGGCTAAGGCTTATGAGTGGGTAAGAACTTGGGAAGCAGCTCAAAAGGCCAACAATTTGAGCAAGAAGCATATAAGGGTGGATAAGCTTATTGGGTGGCATAAACCGCCGACAGGATGACATAAATTAAACACTGATGGGGCAACTCAAAGTAATCCAGGGATGGTCACATCAAGAGGATTGCTTCGTGATCATGATGGAGATTGGATATGTGGCTTTTGTAGCAAACTCGACTCTGGTACAGCTCTCTTTGCAGAGCTCTGAGGAATTTTACAGGGGCTGGAACTAGCTTGGAGAAAGGGATCTCGATTCCTTATTCTCGAAACAGAATCTAAGCTGGCACTTCAACTCATTGAGAAGAGGAATGACATAGTTCACCCCTACGCAACGATCCTTGGATCTATTAGACGTCTTTGGCTAAAGAGTGGGTTGTTTGATTAGTTCATACGTATCGTGAAGGAAATATAGTCGTGGACTGGCTCTCGAAGCACAGTCTCATATATCCCTTCGTTACGCATGAACTCGGTAATCCCTCTTTGGAAGTGGATCGAATTTGCCGAGAGGATCGATTTGGGGTCAGCTTCCCCAGGCAAGTTATTCGTGAAGAAGGCCCTTAATGGGATGGTTCTGCTCTATTGCTCCCCTGTTTGGTATGGTTTTTTTTTTATGGATGTTTTTTTGTTCCCGATTCATTTTCTAGCCGTTAGGAATCCGTAAATCTGGCATTTTTGCCTCCCTTTAATAATAAAAAAAAAAGATATACACCATTTTTAACTAACTCTTATCAAATTCACATGCACATGTCGCCTATGGTTAATTACGATTATCACAAACATGTTACGGAAGGTTGAATCATGAAATGAAAGGGTTTTAACTTTTAATGGGATTGTTATTGGATTTGTTATATAAGTGACATAGGAGCCCATAATTGCAGGCTGAAGATATGAAAATGGCTTTCCGACGATTGCTCGAAATGGCTTTCCGACGATTGCTCGAAGCACAGTGATTTTTTAAATGA